GCGGCTGTGCAGGGTCTAAGGCAGCCAGAGTCCTCAGCTGGTTGCTTCAGGCTTGGAATAGCTTCATTTGGGGTTCCAGAACCCTCCAGATTACCCCAGTGTGCTCTAGAAATACGTCATTCTTTATATATATCATTACATGAGAAACATTGGTAGGCTCCAAACTAGACCATTCTACCTTCTTGGGCCTTAGCTCATGGATGCTTGACAGCCTCAGCTGCCAGGAACAGAAAATGGAGCATCCCACAAAGCCCCCTTCACCAGTCCTTTCTAACGTCATTGAGGATGACCTTTATTTATTTATTTATTATTGCAGTAACATTGGTTTATAACGTTATATAAATTTCAAGGGTACGTTGTAATATATTTTGAATTCTGTGTAGATTACATCATGTTCACCACCCAAAGACTAATTACAATCCATCAGCACACACATGTTCCTAATTACCCATTTCGCCCTCCTCCTTCCCCCGTTCCCCTTTGGTAACCACTAATCCAATCTCTGTTGCTATGTGTTTGTCGTTTTTATCTTCTACTTATGAGTGAGATCATATGGTATTTGACTTTCTCCCTCTCACTTATTTCTCTTAGCATAATACCCTCAAGATCCATCCATATTGTCACAAATGGTTGGATTTCATAATTTCTTATGGCTGAGTAGTATTCCATTGTGTATATATACCACATCTTCTTTATCTATTCATCCCTTGATGGGTGCCTAGGTTGCTTCCAAGTCTTGGCTATTGTGAAGAATGCTGCGATGAACGTGGGGGTGCATGTGTCTTTATGTATTTGTGTTTTCAAGTTCTTTGGATAAATACTCAACAGTGGAATACCTGGATCATATGGTAGATCTATTCTAAATTTTCTGAGGATACTCCATACTGTTTTCCATAGTGGCTGCGCCAGTTTGCACTCCCACCAGCAGTGTATGAGGGTTCCCTTCTCTCCACAGTGAGGATGACTTTTAATCATAGCTGTCAGATTTGTTTGCCTTGTTGGGTTTTGACCCTAGCGTGTCTTACTCTATAAGGCTGGTCCTTATTCACAGACAAGGATGTTTTGTAACCTGGAACCAGTGAGGTTTGGTTTTATAGGGCCTGGGAGGGGTCAGAAGTTACATCATTTTCAATGCCAAGCCCAAGACTTACCTTTCAGACTCTTCTGTGTCTGATGGCAGTTTGCCTAGCCTGCCCTTTGTAGTGGGTCCCACATGCATGGGAAGAGTTCAAATTAATAAAGCAATTTTATTAACCACTTTAATAAAAGTTAGGAGGATAAGCTGAGGACCCCCAAGGGCAGCATTTGTTTGAGCTCTCTGAGTTAAGGTTTGGATATCTCTGACAAATAATAATATTAATACTATAGACCATAGAGCAGAGGTCTTATTACTCCCATTTCTGAAGGCTACGCCAGGCCTATAAGTCATCTTTGCACTCTGGACTCTTGATTATTGAACCAGAGAAGATTTGTTTAATCAGCATTTGAAGAGTTTCCAATGATGCCATCTCAATGATGTTAATTCCACTTGGATCACCTCTTACTATCCCCCTGATGTACATGGGGCCTGAGATAGCTTTTGCCCCTTTGCTGACATTTGATGCTTGTTGAAAGAAGTGATGATCATTCCAGTGGCTCAGGTTTGGGTGTCCCTAGGCAGGAGGATGGTCATATTGCATAGCTGGACTCAGTTCAGGCAGCCACTGGCTCCTTTCCAAAAACTAGCATACTTCAGCTCTTTGCTGGAAAGATAAAGAACATCAGAAAAGCACTGAGCTATGAGAGGGAACTCTTATAGTTACCAAGATTATTGTATTATGAAGCTCCTGCTGGAGATGCTTCTGTTGCCTTCCCAGACACATAGAAGTGTGCCTGGGGCACTGGTTCCAGATGCTGGTCTGTGACTTGGTGCTGGGCTGGCTGATGGCTGTATAAGAGCCACTGATGGAGCTTATAAAATACAGATTTAGTGGCCTAGGGCAGGGCCAGGGAATCTGTATTTTTCTAATGTGCACCCTAGTTTGGGAAGCACAGTCCTAGGACTGCCTCCTATAATTTTGCAATTACTGTTAAAACAGTAGATTACAATAACCTTCAATTAAAAACATTTTTTTCCTTAAAAATCCCATTTTCTGGCCACTTCACATAATTTTCTGACTCAGATGGCCTTTCCATCATACTAATATAATACACCCTCCTGTGTCCCACCCTTCACCCATTCATTTGACCAATATTTAACAGCTGTCTAGAATGGGTTCCAGGAACTAACGTAAAAAGATCAAAAGACACATGGTTCCAAGACTAAAGGAGTCTTTGTTCTAGTCAGGAGACAATTGTACAATAAACCAGCTATTATAGATCATTATAATTGTTTGAACTAAATTGCAGTGGGGGCAGGTGAAATTTTCTGGAAAGTCAGGTAACGTCTTCATGGAGAAACCCTTTGACTGGAGGCCTGACAAAGGAGAAGAAGGTTGTCGGATGCCAGGTGCACATAAGAGGAGGCAGAGAGAACATCTTTGCAGCGGCTTAGTGGCCAGAGAGCCTGATAGGTGAGAAGAACTACATATTTCTTAGTTTTGCCACTGTATAAAATATGAGCTAATATATGATAGAAATGGCGGTGAGGGGGACGTACAGACAGAGGCCAGACCGCAAGGGGCTTGTAGATCACGTGTGGTGGGAGTTTGTATTTGACTTCATTAGCGCATCTTGCTTGCCACATAGATAGGTTTTTTCTAAATGCCACATTGATGTGTATCTTTTTAAAATCCTCTCCCCTGACAATATGGCATGATGAAATTTCTTATTCTCACGTAATACCTTGGAAGCAGGAGAAACTAAGTGGTAATTTGCTAGATCCCACGTGGAACCGTAGGCTCAATTCTCATTTTCGGGTGCTGTTCACACTTTCTTCTTTCTTTTCTTTTCTTTTCTTGTTTTTAAAGATTGGCCCTGAGCTAACATCTGTTTCCAATCTTTTTTTTTTCTTCTTCTCCCCAAAGTCCCCCAGTATGTAGTTGTATGTTCTAGTTGTGGGTCCTTCTAGTTCTGCTGTGTGGGACGCTACCTCAGCATGGTTTGATGAGTGGTGCTAGGCCTGAGCCCAGGATCCGAACCAGCGAACCCCTGGGCCACTGAAGCGGAGCACGTGAACTTAACCATTCGACCACGGGGCCGGCCCCTACATGCTCTCTTATTTCTGAAGCCAGAAGTCAGCCTGTTTGTGGGGCTTCCTTCCCCATAAAACCTGCATCCTCTTGAAAGCCAGTGCTACACCCCAACCTCATCTCATGCCACTTCTCTCCTTGATCCCTAAGCTCCCTCCACACTGATCTTTTTCCAATTTTCAAAGAAGCAAAACTTATTTCTACCTCAGTGCTTCTGTACACGCTATTCCTTCTGCCCGCAGGCATCCATCCCCAGCCCCATCTAAATTAGATCTTCCCTGAAAAGACCTTTTCCAGCCTCTATTTAAACAAGCCCTACTACCCTCTATTTTGTGACACATAATACAATTTCATATTGTTTTATTTGTTTTGTTGACTTTCTTTCTTTATTGTCAGACTTCCCCTATAAGTTCCATAAATGCAATGACCCCATGTGACTCATTCACAACTGTACCCTCCCTACCTGTTTAGTAGTAAATATTAAATAATTATTTGCTGAATGGGAGGGTAGATGAATGATGGATGGATGGATGGATAGCTGGATGGGTGGATAGATGGATGGGTAGATGGATGGATAGATGGAGTTGAAGTCTGTAAGTTGAATTCTAAACAAACTCCAGCCCACCATTCTTTTTTCATGCTGTGGTTCTACTCATCCAGGCTCCTGAGAATTCTGATCTCCCTCATGACCCCAACAAAGCTGCACCCGTCCCGCATGCTGCAGCCTAAGCTTCATTCATTTAATGAAATCTGTGATCTCTAAAGCTGACACTGATTTGTTCCTCTTCTGACTTATGTATAAAATATATGTTTATATTTTATTAATAACCTTGGAGTATATGTGTGTTGTTTCCAGTTGGATTACTTATCCAAACGTCATCTAAGTTAAAATTTTTAAAAAGACTTTTCTCATAAGAAGAGCAATTTTTTATAACAAAAACAATAAAGAAATACATTTCAGAAAATGTGAGAAATATTGAGTATAATGAAGCAAATATGAATCCTGCATAGTTTCTCCGTAGATATTTTGTCTTTTTTTCATTAAGTGGTTTTCTTATACATTCCACAACTTTGTATACATGTAAAAGTATCCTGAATTTTAAACAAAACATGACCCCCATCTCATTATAAAGACTTTTTTTTTTGGTGAGGAAGATTGGCACTGAGCTAACATCTGTTGCCAATCTTCTTCTTTTTGCTTGAGGAAGATTGTCACTGAGCTAACATCCATGCCACTCTTCCTCCATTTTGTATATGGGACACTGCCACAGCATGGCTTCATGTGTAGGTGTGTAGGTCTGCACCTGGAATGCTAACCCTGAATCCTGGGCCACTGAAGCAGGGTGTGTGAACTTAACCACTGTGCCACCAGGCCTGCCCCTTATTATAGAAACTTTTAAAGTCTATTTCATTATATGCCTGATCCTAAGTTCTATTTTTGAGAATCACGATTGAGTGCCAACAGAGTAGTAGACGGGTGCTAGGCACTGAGGTATGTGTTATCCCACTGAAAATATTTAGTGCTTACTGAACCAGAAAAGATTATATAAAGAATGTCTTTGCTCAAGTAGCTATGTTTCTGAGTGGCTATGATAGGTTGCAGAAGCAAGAGGTGAAACTCCAGAATAATTTGAATTAAGGGCAAACAAGAAAGGCTGGATCCGCAACAAATACACCCAGTTCAAATATTGAGTGCACTGAGCACGCAGATGTCTGGAGTAAAAGTGTTCCTACTAGACCTCTAGAACAATGAATTGAGAAAGCTTTGGCAGACTGCTCTTCTCTGAAATCCCAGCTGTGAGAATGACTCATGTTTTTCTTATTTTCTAGAGTGACCGTCTTCTTATCAAGGGAGGCAGAATTGTCAACGATGATCAGTCCTTTTATGCTGATATTTACATGGAAGATGGTTTAATAAAGTACGTATGTAGAGTGCTTCTCTCTATCCTTTTGCACTTTCTATCTTCATTAGAGGCTCAGAAAGAAGCTCGCTGCTTATCTGCTTCCTAGACTGTTGGTTCTCTGTGTTTTCTTTCTCCTTCTCCTTCAAAGTGAGTCTTTATTTTAGTCCTTTGGTGTGGATGGCCATAATCCCTTAAAAGTGGGAGCTAGGGACCAACCCATGGCATAGTGGCTAAGTCTGGTATGCTCTGCTTCAGCAGCCTGGGTTTGTGGGTTCAGATCTTGGGCATGGACCTACATCACTCATCAGCCGTGCTGTCGCAGCGACCCGCATACAAAATAGAGGAAAACTGGCACAGATGTTAGCTCAGGGAAAGAAAGAGGAAAATGGGCAACAAATGTTAGCTCAGAGTGAATCTTCCTCACCAAAAAAAAAAAGAAGTAGGATCTAGTCTTAGTTCACTTGGATTACATGAATGAAGTGAAAAATCTGAATTCAATCAACTGAATGATGCTGAGGGCCCCTGTGCAAGCTGCACTGATGGATATTCCATGCATCTTGGAAAAGTGGAAGAGGTGACCATATCTTTAAGGTTACTGAAAAATCTGCACAAATTACAGTACCCTAAAAATAAAAGGCCTTGTGTAATAGTTACCAAAGGAGTTCAAATGAGGATAAGTGATTTAGAAGTGCACAGAAGGGAGAAATCCCTTCAGAGGAAGGTTTGGGGGTGGAGAGGGCATTTAAATTAAACCTTGACTTAGCTTGGCCTTAGATGAGGAGAAGACAGATAGAATATACATTTCAGGCAAGATTTCCAAATAGATGCCTAGGGATGTATAATTACTTTACAAAATGATATGCTGTTGGGGGCCCGTAGGCAGCACGACCAGGTAACCTTTATGTGCAGGTTCCTGACATAAGGACCTTTAAAAAAGGATTTTATCTACACATAGCCTTTAATCACGTAAAGCAAGGTATGCCCCATACTAATAAGGTATTGTCTAAGACAGGTTTATACAACCCATCCTATTAGCCATCTCTGGCTTTGTTCAGTTTTATTTTTATATTATTCAACTTCGTTGGCTAGTTTAAGATTCTGGTGATAGGACATCTCTTACTTATCTTTGAAGACTTGCCTTAGATCTAACTTTGTGTAGGTAGACATTGCTTACCAGCCCCCAAATCTAGGCTAGCTTCCCCTCCTATGACCTTTCAAAACACCATGTGCTTTTATCAATCACAGCAATTCTGACACTGATAGGCCCCCTTGAGAGCAAGGACCATATCTTGTCCATCTCCATATCCCCAGCACTTAACCCAGTACTTAGTACAGAAGGACGTTGATAAGAGCTACCTTGCCCTGAGTATGTAGGAGGTACCAGGCACTGTGTTAAATGTTTTACATGCCTCATCTCATTTAACCTGCCGGCCATCCTATGAAATAAGTACTGTTATTACCTTCTTCTCAGACAAGGAGAAAGAAGATCAGAGAAAGTAAATAACTTGCCAATATATTAGTCAAATACGTTGAATGAATGAATGAAAGAACAAATGCAAGAATGAAGATATTCGTGTTTACTTGCCTTGCCAATTTACGTACATACTTTTTCATATTACAAGTCGGAAAAATGGAAACACTAGGCAAGCTAACCAATGTGAAACAATAATTTCTTCAAAATATAAGCCACAAGTGATTTTATATTTTTCCCTTGCTACGAAATTATTGTGTATAGTCGACTCTCTTCGGAGGTAGCGAGTTCCCTCATTTAGAGATTTTTAGAGATGGAAAAGAATTTAGTACCTAATGCTTCTCCCTCTTTTCAGAGCTCATGTCAGGCATCACTAGTTGATCACAGTACTTTTTGCGGTTGAGCCTTAACTACAGGCTCAGGAACCATCTTCACACAGTGATTCAGGCATCTACTACCAGAGTTGAATATGTAAAATGAATTCTTTTTGCCATCTCTGTTGGAAGAGACTGGAAGCATGTTATAGAAAGAATTTAACCATCAGATGTGTGTGTTGGTGGTGGAGAGAGAGTGGATAAACACAATCCTCATCCAATCCTGAAATTTTACGTATCTCCAAAAACATTCTTAACTCACAGAGCATAAAAACAGAGATAGTTTCCTCCAATTGTTACAGCATTTTTTTGCCTGTCTGTGAGTATTTGTGGAGTGCCTGCTATGTGCAAGGCAGTAGTCTAGCCACTGGACACATGCTATGTCACATGCTTGGTAGATATTATTGGGACCCAAATTATCATGCTCTCTCCCCCCAGGGATCTTACAGTCTTTTAGGGGAACTGAGATATCTATATATATGCAAAGGACATAATATTACCAGATAATATAAATATCAAGTATTAAATTAGTAGAAGACATGAGAAACAGGAAGGAGAGGCCTATATGGGATTAGAATGGTTGTTAATTATAATAGCTGATATTTGTTGAATTCTTATGTGCCTAACAGTGTTCTGTGAGCTTAACACATATTACCATTTAATCTACACAAGAAACCTATGGAGGAGGCATTTTTATTACATTTTACAGATGGAGGAATTGAAACATGGTGAGGTTAAGTAACTTGGCCAAAGTCATAAAGCTGGTAACTAGCAGAGCCAAGATGGTGAATCCACATAGCCCATATCCAGGGCAGAGCGACACTCGTCATTTTTAGGCCTGGCTGTCAGTAGAAACTTGACCAAAGAGGGGAGATAGAAGGTGAGCCTTCAAAGATTAATGTGACCTTGATTGGTTCAGTGGAGAAAAAGGGGGAAGGCATTTCTGTTTCAGACTCGGTCTTATATGAGTTGTCAAAATGGTGGGAACATAACATACATACACACACACAGACCAGGCAGTTCTTCATGCCAGTGGTTCTCAATTTCCCTCACAGGAAAATCAGTGAAGGAGAAAGATGAGAGCACGGCTGGCCAGGATCTGGATGAGAGTGGAGTGACAATCCAGAGGCTGCATTTTTTCCACGGTGTGTTTTGAATTGTGGTGGCTCTGGAATGGCCCAGTGGTGCTGTGGTGAAATTGCCCTCTTGGAGATGTCAGGAATACTTGGCTTTAGTTGTAGAACTTGAATTTTGGCAGGCCAGTGTAGACTTCTTACTGCCCTAAGAGAGTGTCCTTCTTGGTTGGCTGTGAACAAAAGGAGAAAGTATTCATGCTACTGGCTGTGGGGTACTTGCATCCCCAAGGCAGGAGATGTGTGATGATCACCGAGAGGCTTATGAGTCATAGGTCTACCTGGAATTCACATTGGATAAGTTTAACTGGCCATTTAAACTGAGGATGTGAAATCAGATGTAAGCCAAGCAACATGGGATGGTCTGTGAGGTAACATTGTGCCAGGAGTAGTTGTATTTGTCGCTTGCTTTGTGTAGTGTGCCTCTGGGATACTCACCGCCTTTCTCCCTGCCTGAGTCCCCCCGCTCTTCCTCCCTGGGATGTTCTGAACCTTCCTCGGGGAAGCTGTGTCTGGAGGAGGTTGTCATAATTACCTTCCTTGGTTTGAAGCTTCTACTGAGATGCTGACTGCACAAAAGCAGCTGGTGCCCAGGGCATCTGCATCTTTAACTTCCCTTTTGTGAGTCTGCCTTCAGCTGTGACTGACAGAGAAATTAATCAGGGAAGAGTGGAATTTCGAGTGAAGCCTGAGGTGTGAAATGACCCAGACAGATGCCTTTTGTTAGGACTACAGGTGAACCCACTTAGAGGATAGCTAAGCTCACACATCTGTTCTTTAAATGATTCACTACTTCCTCCAGTCTCTCCTAAAGATTCATTATTTTACACTCTTGATCCTTCTCCAAATGTTATTTCTCACCCTTAAATAAAGAACAAAACGAAAGGAATAACAAAAACACTTACTTTTAAAAAAATGTTTATTACACACCCTATATTCTAGACTCTGTCAAACCACTGGGGTTACAGTATTAAGCCAGATACGTGGTCCTACCAAACAGCATATTGGATTGTTCTGTGTCTGTAAAAGTTTTCGCTATGTGTACTTATCTTTATTTGTTTCTAGATTGCTAAGCTTGTAAATCACTTGCAGAGACGACTTAGATAAATATAAGTTACAATGTTTAGAATCCTTATAATACTATGTTCTTCTTGGAAGTTGTTCTTTTAAATTGCCAGTTGTTTTGCTGTCTCACCAGGCAAATTGGAGACAATCTGATTGTCCCTGGAGGAGTGAAGACCGTCGAGGCCAATGGGAAGATGGTGATCCCTGGAGGCATCGATGTCCACACTCACTTCCAGATGCCATACAAGGGAATGACCACAGTGGATGACTTCTTCCAAGGGACAAAGGCTGCCTTAGCGGGGGGCACCACCATGATCAGTAAGTCCCCTGACTTTATACGCACATGTAAAGTGTGTAAGTGGTCCCTAGAAGCAAGTATTTAACTAATGTCTTAATCACAGTGCTCTCTGATGGTAACTTGTACACTTCCCTCAATTCAATTTATAGACTTTCTGCCTGATGGGACCTGAGAAAAGCAGGTTTAGTGAGGACATTGGCAGCTCCCTGTAACTTAACTGCAGAGAGGAGACGGATGAAGCTCATGACCATGAAAACAGCTGTCCTCTCTTGTCTGCCTTAGAGCAGGGGCTGGGTGTGCCTTGGGTGGGGAGTCAGCAATTATCATCTCTGGGCCAGTCACTGGGGAAAGTGGACTTCAAAGTTGTAAATAGTGGGCACAAAGTTATTTCAGCACTTTCAGCTGGGGTCTGGGGTGGAAGTAGGCAGAGAGTACAGGCAGAATAGTGCAAATGAGGCTAAGAGCATCCCAGAGAGAATGGTAATGGAGACGTGCAGTTGTTGAGAAACTGGTAGACTGCAGTGGCATTTAGTGTTATCTGGTCTGCACTGTATTTTGACCAATTCCTATCTTTAAGATTAGGCAAGCTGTGGGGGTGGTTTCCCTTGTTTTGTTTTGTTTTTTTACTGGTAATTATTGCAATTCCAAAGAAACCTAGGGATTTGCATGCCACTGGATTACCGAATGGATAGCGTTCCAGGGCAATCCTTCCTGTCCCAAAGGAATCCTGACGAATTGGGTCCCATCCCAATAATGTTCCCAAACTTGATCAGCAAGAGCCCTGTTTATGTTAACACCGTATGCATCCACCCAAGAACACAGAACAGCCTGAGCTGGAGAATTATTCACTGTCTTTTGCTTCTGTTTGATGGGAGCATTAGCAGGGTTCAGCTTCAGCTAGTTGGGTGTGGACGCCCAGGAAAATTGCATCAAGGCCATAAAAGGTGCAATTCAGGGAGAGCAAAGCTTTTCTCCAGCCGAAGGGAGGAAGCCAGCTGACTTCTCAGCAGCTGCTTGCCCACAAAGGCTCTGGTGTGGGTCCAAGCATCAGTAATGTAGCTCCCTGCGTTTGTTTTCCGATAAGTGCACTTGGGCTGCCTGTGATAGAAGGCAGAGGAAATGACTGCTCTTGGCCTGGCTTTCTGCCGTCTAGGCAAGGATTTGGACCAGTTCAGCATCCTGGACATGTGTATTATGCTTGATCTCTGCATTCGGGAAGGAGCAGGAGGAAAGTCACAGTTCGAGGTGACAAGAGAAAAAAGCGTACAAAGAACCATAAAAGTGTACATGTCCTTCGTAGATAATTTTAAAATCCTAGATATGCAAAAAGAAAAGAAAAACCCATAAATCCCACATCGCTGTTATATATAATTTGGCTATTTTTTTTCCCTGTTTAACAAAAACAGGATCATAATAGACATACTGTTTTAGCCTACCATTTTCACCAAATAATATGTCATGAATGTTTTCCCATTCATTTGTTTTTATTTTATCACATTTAAAATGGGTGCCTAATGTCCATTTTATGAAGTTAGCACAATTTATTTATTTAAACAAACTTCTCTATTGCTAAAGGTTTTATTTCCAGTTTCTTGCTTACATAAATATATAATGTTTGCAGTGGTAAACATCTTTAGAACTCAAATTTAGCATACAGCCATGTTTATTTCCTTAGGAATAATTCTTAGGCACGGGAATAATTATTGAGTAAAGGTGTGAAAAACATCAAGGTTTTTGATATCTGTTTCAAAATTCTTCTTAGGGAAGTTGTGCCAATTCACACTTTCCCTCAACTGCCCAGGGGAACTGTAAGAGTGTAACTTTTGCTTCATCGTCACTATTGTTATCTGTGTAAATGTTATTATTTTTAATAATATTACCCACAGTTGCAGGTACTGCAAGGGTAGGTTTGGGCCTCAAAGAAACCATATTCTTGACAAAAAGTTTACATGGAAATAAGATCTGTGAGCCTAGTGTTAGGTTCCCTTAACCAATACTCAGCTCTTTCCTATGACAATAAGCACAAGGATGTCACTCTCTTGTGCCCTCTCATGACTTTAAAACCTCACCTTCTGCCCACAAAAGGGAATCCTACCTTTACCCCCAGCAATGACTCCCCACAGTCCTGGTAATAATGGCAAATAGTAGGCACTCGTTGACAGCTAACGTTAGCTGAGCACTTACCTGTGTGCCAGGATCAGGTGAAGCACTTGCCGTGCATTTTCCCATTTAATCTTTTACCAACTTAGAAGGAAGGTACTGTTACACCCTGTCTCCCACCCCACTTCCTGCCCATTTTAAGGGCAAGAAAACTGAGGTTTAGAGAAGCTAGTAATTTGCCCAAGGTCACATAGCTAAGTGACAGTTAAATCATCAGCCACCTTGAAACCACCAGGGAGCGCTTTCTAAAGTTAATTCCATGTCAGCAAATAGAGACTTTGCAGTCACAACTAAGAAAGCAGGAGCAGACCCGCACAGAGGGGAACAAAGGCTGTGTCGGTAAGTCCCCCATCTGGGGCCTCTGTCGTTCAGTTGACCACGTGGTGCCCGAGCCTGAGTCCAGCCTGACGGAGGCCTATGAGAAGTGGCGGGAGTGGGCCGATGGCAAGAGCTGCTGTGACTACGCCTTGCACGTGGACGTCACCCACTGGAATGACAGCGTCAAGCAGGAGGTGCAGAGCCTCATCAAGGACAAAGGTGGGCCCACACTCACCCTCTTCCCTTCTCCCTTGCCTGTCCTTCCCACACCATCCGCTCATTTGAGTCACTTCTCCTTGCTGGAGCCTGGAAGCTTGAGCATGAGTGCTGGATGTGGGGGTCCCACTGTGTTCCAGACACCATCTCTTTATTTATACCATCTTACTTACCCCTGACAGCGGCCTCATGAGATAGGGATGATTGTCCTTGCTTTGCACATGGAGACCCTGAGGCTCAGAATAAGTAGCCCAAGATCATAGAGCTAGTAATCAGTAGATCTACCAAAGTCCATGCTCTTCACCTCCTTGCAATACTGTCCATCTTACAGAGGAAGAAACGCAGGTCAGGAGAGGTTAACATCTTACATACGGTCACACGGCTGGTGAATATTAGGTTAGGAATTTTTAACCTCTATCATTTTTACTCCAAAGATCAAACCATTGCTATTATGTAACAATGGCATCCTCAGAAAAGGAGCAAAGATGTGTTTGTACTCAAGCTAGGAGTCCAGAGCATGAAAACATGTTCGTTGTGTGTGTCCTCTCAGTGAGTGCATGATGTAAGTTTCTATTGTCTTCTTAGAGTCTTCTGTCTCTACTTCTGTGTTTTGATTGTCAGATATTTTACACGTGCGCACCACCTCCAAGATGTGCACACAGACATGCCATGTGCTCAGCATCCTGAGGCGGCCTGGGGACTTAGGGAAATTTAAAGAATGGCCTCTGCCAAGCATCCAAGGCAAAAAGAAGCAGGCCAGTGAAGAGCAACAGGATAAACGCCCCAGGATGCAGAATATTACTATAATAGTAATATTATATGACTAATTATATTATAATAGTACTGGGACTATAATACTAGTACTAATACTAATAATACTAATTATTATAATACTGATTTTTATAATACTGTTATCAATGAGCAGTCTCGATGCAAATGCCAGGAGTGCCGTGGGAGAGAGTGTGCGCTGGGTGGGAGGGGAGAAGATGACCTCTTAGAAGAAGAGTTTTCCTCTCCATGCCTGTCCTCACCCCACAAGCTCTGCCCAGATCTTCCTGATATGAAGTGTGAGATCATCCCCTCCCCCTTTTTTCTTGTGTGTCCTTTCACACTGGGTATCTCAACTGGGGTAGGAAATTGAACGGCTTTAACACCTACTTCCTTCCCAAAGGGCCTGGGTCATTCCGTGGGTGACACAGGCTTGTGGGAAGGGTGGTGTTGGGAAAAACTGCCCTGAGCTGAACCACTTTGGGGAGGGAGCTTCTCAAATTACAGCCCACTTTTGGCCTGGAACCCTGTGGGCTGAGATGGCCCTAATGGTTGGAGACCAAAATTGGCCTCCTTTCCTCAAAATGACTCTCTGTTCCCCAGTCCCACCTATTTCTGTAAATTACTATATTAATGGTTTATTTTGGGTGCAAAATTAAATGGCTGTCTCTTTATAGCCCTTATGACTTAGATATTTAAGCACAAGGTGAAACTTGACTTCCGCCCATTAGCTCTGTTCGTTCCCCAAGGACGGATCTCTACCTTAGTTCTCCTCTCAGATCCAGCACCCTGCACTGGCCTAGTGTAGAGCAAGCATTCATTGAATAGCGAAATAAGCTGATCCCGGGAGATGCGTTGGTGGAGACCAAATATGTGCTGCTGAGAGCTCTGCGTGTGTTATCTCATTTAACGTTTCCAACTACCTTATGAAGCAGGGTATTGTTATTTTTCCATCTTACAGATGGGGAAACCAAGGCTCAAGAGGTTAGATATTCCAAGCTCACTGAACTAGAATGTGGTGCAACTCCCAGTGTGTGAATACAACTACTGTGCTACAGTGATTCTCGATGATATATACCTCCTTGAGCAATCTCGAAAATTCTTGACCCTCTGGGCTGGGGAATCATGGAGAGGGGAGGCAAGAAAGAGGCACAGAAGAAGAGAGCATTCTGCTATGACATCATAGGAATTGTTGATTTTACGGGGTAGAGGAGGAAGTAGACAAATACTCTTGGAGAATGAGAGGCATCTGCTTTCTATTGGACGGGAGCTTGTGATGCACTTGGGCCCCATGGGCGATAGAAGGGGGAGGAAAGGATGGAGAGTGGTGGTGATAATGTTGTCTTTTTCCCGTTTCCCTCCCTTCCCTCTCTTGCAGGGGTTAACTCCTTCATGGTTTACATGGCCTATAAGGATTTGTATCAAGTGTCCAACACGGAGGTAACAACCCATTGCTGTGTGGTTTGGGGTATCGGGATGGTTTCCTGTTGTTGCCGATGACCTTGGCTCTTTGAACATGAGTCACTGTGGTCACTGTGGGAGACCACTGGGCAAGAGTGCTTCTTGAAGCCCTTGCACTTTAAATAAGGTAATGGGCAGGGTGCCCATGGCAAGGCAGACAGGGAATTAGGATTCCCACTGGCAGCGGCTTTCTCAAAAGGACCAGAGGAAGGGCATACCTGAATCTCCATTTACCAAATGACCCCCAAACCCTTCGTGAGCTCAGTGAAGGGGTGAGGTGCTCAGCCTTGCAGGATTGAGGAGGGCCCTCTGCTGTTTGGGGTAATCGTACCAGCTTGCCTCCACCTTTCTCCCTAAGAAATTCATGGGATGTGTTTGTTTAAGACAAATCTCAAGTTTTCAGAGGAAATACAGAAATGAATTCCCATACCTTCTGGTGAGGAGATGAAGGCAGGTTAAGAGATGAGGTTTCAAGCTTTTGTGTTAGCTTCTGGCCAGGCTGTGGGGGCTTTGGGGAACATTTGTTGAGAAGGATTCTGAAACTCTATCTCAGCTCAGTGGGACATAATTCCACTTAAAATGTGTGTGTGGGAGGCAGAGTAGAGGAGTTGGTAGCACTTTGTTCCATATTTGCCCTCTCTGCCTCGGAGACACGATGAGTTCTTTATAGAGACAGCTTCCTGCAGTGCCCTGGGATTAGTGCTCCTCTTTTGGTGTGCCTGTTTTAGTCTGTATATTTCTGCCCTGGTCACTTATTTTCTCTGGTTTATCCCATTCGTTTTAGCTCTGGCTCTAGTAATTGGCCCTTATGTGAGCTTGCTCAAAGTGGCTTGTGAAGGTGACAAAGACTCATTTCTGTTTCAGCTCTATGAGATCTTCACCTGTCTGGGAGAGCTGGGAGCCATTGCTCAAGTTCATGCTGAGAATGGGGATATCATTGCCCAGGTAACACACTGCAGCTACCTGAAGTGCGCTTTCTGCCTGCGCTCGGGGTGGCATTCCATTTGCTTCCTCATTTCTTCACTGTTGCTTGAGCTCCCAATATATGCAAGACCCCCTCATAACTACTCTGCTAAAAACAGAACCTGCCCTAAGGGCTTCACAGTCTAGGAGGAGGAAAGAAAGGGGGAAATGTAGACAAGTGAGGTGGAGAGGGGAAGGTGCTGTAAAACAGAGAGAAGTCTGACCATTCTGGAGAATCGGAAAAGGCATCCTGGAAGAGGAGGTTTTCAAATAGGGCCCTTGAGTGAGAGAGCATTGCTGATGCTGTTTTGAAAATGACTGTAAGCTTTGTGACATTCTCTGTCCTGAAGAAAAACCCTAAGGCAGCATTTCTCGGAAGCTAGACATCTGATCCAGGACTGCGGAACTCACGGCCTTAGATAATAAAGAATTTAGGTCTTGTGGGGATCAGACGTCCCACTGGTTTCCTCGAAATCATATTGAGAAACTTGAGGAAAGAGTGATGAAAGTGAGGCCCCAAGGCCCAAAGTGAGCATCTGTAAGGAAGCAGACAGCACTTCTCTCTCTATCTCCTGGGTTGCCTAATGGGCTAGATGCACAGATGTGTCTTAGCTAGAGTTTTGTTTATCTCAGAAATGTTCATGATTGGCTTCCGCTAGGAGGAGGCAGCCAGAAACGAGTGTGAGCTCTCTTAGTCCATTTGATAACATTAACAACAAGAACTCATTATTCATTCTTTCAAAGAGTATTTCCTGAGCACTCTGTGCCAGGCACTAGGCTGTAGAGGTGAGCCAAAACAGATGCATCCATACCTCCCAAGTGCTGGGCTGTGTCTTCATTTTAGAAGTTGTCCAGGACTTGGTGAGTGTGATCAGCAGGGGTGTGGGAACAATGCTGAGGCCGATGTTCATCTCAGGCCTGTGAGCTTCTAACAGTAGGTAATTTGGTGAGCACCTCCTGCTGTGTACCAGGACTGTAAGTGTATGTTCTCATTTGATCTTCACCCAACCCTTTAAAGATGGCTACCACCCTCCCTGTTTTGTAGATGAGAACTTTGAGGCTCAGAAGGATTAGGTCACCAGCCCAAGGATCACAGCCAACACCTAGGAGAACAAACTCTTAACCCCTAATGTGATGTGCCTTGGTAGGCATCTTTGCCCAGAGATGGTGCATCAAAGGCCCCTTGCTCCATCAATCTAGCTGCAGGCCTCCCGGAGAGGCAGCGCCCCAGCCGTGCAGGGCTCCAGCTGTTAGAATTGCAGACTCTGAACATTATCTCGCTACTGGGGGAGGGAAGCTAAGTGTGCAGTTTCTTCTTGCTTATGACCAAAGAGGTTAATTAGTCAGGCCCCTGACAGCCTTCTCCCAAGTCCCCCACACACCCAGATATAATGAAATCATTTTCCAAAGAGGGTCCAAATGCCTTGCTCCCATGGGAGGCCTCCTGGTGGTGTCAGAGCTGTCACTCCTCCCCTTTCTCCAGATTTTCAGTGCAGCAGCCAGAGGTCCCAGCCCTCCCTCCAGATGCCCTAAAAACGAAACCTCCTTCTTCATTCTGATCCCTGTGGAGGCAAATGGGCCCCTTTTCTAGCTTCCTCTTGTGGCTCCTTAGCACAGAAGTTTCCCTGGTTTCCCCCCACCTCCACCCTTCCCTTCCTTGGGAAGATCTGTTCTCAGTCAGGAAAAGAATAAGGGCATTTTTTCCATTTGGATGAATTTCTTGTGTGTGTTTATTAAATTCAGCTTGAGGTGAAAGATTTGATCACATTGTCTAAATGAAGGCAGCTGCTGTACTCAGTTTCTCACTCCACTTTATGCAAAAGGGACTAAAGAGCAAGAAGAAATACTTCCTATGGGTACCCACAAGGGAAATTTTCAAAAGTTTCAAGCTGGCAGGACAGTCTGAGAGTACAGCGTCTTTAGCCATTCATCTAACAAATATTTATTGAGCGCCTGCTATGTGCCAAGCTTTGGAGAGGGAAGATGAAAAAGACAGGGTTCCTTTCCTCGTGGAGCAAACAAAATTGTGCCATGACCAAACAGCAGGATGAGTGCCTCAAACTGCCCACTGCTCCCCCATTCATGTAAGGTGGCATCGATGGGTCTTTACGTGACACTCTTAATCTTCCAGCTGTAGGGACACCGTGGCTTTTAGAACAGGACTTCCCAGCATGAGCAATGCATTAGAATCACCTGTGGAGCTTAGAGAACCATTCCCGGGATTCTCCTGGTTGTGGAGATTCTGAGTCAGGAGGTCAGAAGTAGGGTTCAGGCAAATGTATTTTGAAAAGGTCCCCTGGCGATTCGAATGTGCTTGGAAACCACTGCTCGAGCGAGCTTCCTCCTGTGTATTGTCCTAGCACTCTTAACAAGATAGAAGTGACAGTGTCATAGAAGACAGAAGATGCTTTATTTGGCCAGCTCAACCCTTGTGTGACGTCAGGAGGCGATTCAGAGTGGAAGCTCACTAGAGCTTGAAAGAAATTTATTCAGTCCAAGTTTCCATAAACGGAACAGTAAGAATGAAAAGTGGAGGTACTTTGCTGGAAAAATCACCCTCTGACTTCGGTCTGAATTCTATAAAGCTGGAGACAAGGACCGCTTTACTTCTCGTGGTTGCTTATAGTAAATGCATCTTTCTTCCTACTCCTCTTTAAAAAAGTTACATTATTAAAAACAAAAAACAATAAAAAATAGTTCTTTTCCAGGTGGAAGGAATCCCTTCCTTTCTAAACATCTCATGGTTTCGAAGTGAGACAAGGTTCTGTTCAGTTCACTCTCCTTCATCTCGCGTATCACTGGTGCAGAGGTTCATGGGAACTGGCCTTCGTCATTTGAGAGTGAATGCCAGCAAAACTGTAGATATGGTGGCTTAGGATTTGTGCCAGTTCCAATTAACCCACATGTGTGTTCACTGCCCAGCCACCTGCTTCTTCCAGAAAGCTGGCCTGAGGTCTGAGGAATTTAGCTGTCAGCCAGGAGTAGGCAGTTCTGCCATGTCTATGATGTAATTAAATAGAATTTAACCAAAAGGCTAACTCAGGTAATGCTGTTTAGAGGCATTATATTGTCTGGTTAAATTCTGAATTCACTTATTTAAGTCATAAATTTAAAGCATAAAAAAGCCTGAGGAGCTTATTAAAATGCAAATTCTTAGGCTTTAACCTCACATTTTCTGACTTGGTAGGCCTGGAGGGGGCCGGACATCTGCACGGCTGCAAAAGCAGCCCAGGTGATTCTGTTGTAGGTGGTGGGTGGACCAGACTTTGGGAAATGTATCACTAAACCGCAGGCCCCGTTGAAGTCAGGGGCCCTGTTGCCTTTGTTCAAGTACTTGACCTAGAGCCTGGCATGAAGTGGATACTCAGTACATTTTATTAAATGAATGGGTTTTAAAATGCATGATTGAGTAAGCAAACAGAGTTAAGGGAGTGTTCTTTTGGCGGTATCTGCATCTGAAAGAAATGAAGAATAAAGGAACTGGTGTGACGATGCATAATGTAGAAAAAAACCCTGATACTCTAACAGACTGTCTTCCTTTTAATAAAAGCAAGCCACCCTTAAATGTTTTTTCTCCTTTTAGTTAAGACTCTACCCTATTTTGCAATTTCAGATACAGAATTAACAAATTTGTTCAACGTACACATTTTATTCTTTTTCTTCCCTTGAACACATTTCTAGATTAGAACATACAGCATGATTTTTCCAAACCTCATTTGAGCTCATGTAAAAAACTGTTCTCTATTCTCTTTTCATTCTAGGAGCAAACTCGGATGTTGGAAATGGGGATCACTGGCCCAGAAGGCCATGTACTGAGCAGACCAGAGGAGGTAAGCTGCAGGGATGGGGGTGGGAGGAGGAGGGGAGGGAGAGAGAAGAGGTAGCAGTGGAGCCTCTTTTTTTTTTTTTTACCAGCTTCTTCCCAGTGATTCCCATTATCACAATCCCCAGCAGCCTCGCTTATGGCCTGCTGCTCGTTTTAGATTTGGAGGGTTTGCGTTCAGCCTACCTTCCCTGGGCACACGCACACACACGGTATGAACAAACATCGCTGAAAGGTGGGGAGACTATGAATACCAGACAGCAAAATTGGAACCTTTCTTCCAAAAACCACTTCTGACTCAAGAGCCCCTGAGAAAATTAGAAAAGAATGTAAGGGAAATGCTTACTTCTGACCCGTAATCTCTTTCAAGATATCGCAAGTTGGAGTGTACTCAGTTATCCACTGGGAGTGGTCAATATCTAAATCCTTTCTTAATCAGTGTGAATCTCCAGACTTTCCACTTACTCCCTTATTCCGTAATATATTTTGAGTCCTGCAGAATATCGGCCATATGGATAGGAGGTTGAGTGGGTTTTTCATAGGCATTATATCTCTTGATTTGTGGAAGGTGATGATTGCATCCAGGTATGGAAGTTTCCCATGTGTAAAATGAATGCTGATTAGCAGCTGTACTTAGCAGCTGAAGAGTGAAAGAAAAGTAACTAGTGGCTGATTCCATGTCTCTGGGATGTCAACAAGTTCAGCTGCTGGCGCAGGGTACAGAGCTGGGAACTGGCTGCCCATTTGGCTGAGAGCATATTGGCTTTGGGAGACCAGCCTGGGTCTGGCGCCTGGAGCAGATTCAAGGCCCTCCATGTCAGCAAAGAGAACCCTGTTCCTGTTGTCATTCCAAGCCCCACGCTGTCCAACAGGTAGAAGAAGGAGTCAGAACCAGAAATGATTGTCTTCCCATCACCCAGCTCTTCTAGAATCTTTTTGAAAATTAAAATGCAACAGACATAGAGAAAAGTGTTCCTGTCATAAAGGTACAATGAATTTTCACGAACTGAATACACTTGTGTAACTAGCACCCAGCTGGAGAAACAGAACTTTGTCAGTACCCCAGAAACTCCTTTGTCTCATGAAACTTAATTTATTGACAGTTGAAATAGTTTATAATTTTGTCTGTTGATGGGAATGTAAACTGGTGCTGCCACTATGGGAAATAATATGGAGCTTCCTCAAATAATTAAAAATAGAACTACCAGCAATTCCACTTCTGGATATTTATCAAGAAAACGAAAACACTCATTTGAAAAGATATCTACACGCCCTATGTATGCCGCAGTATTATTTACAAGAGCCAAGATATGGAAACAACCTAAGTGTCCACCAATGGGTGAAGAAAATGTGATATATATATATATATATATACATATATAATATAGTACAATATAATATAATATGGAATATTATTCAACCGTATAAAAGAATGAAATCTTGCCATTTGCAACAATATGGATGGACCTTAAGGGCATTATGCTAAGTGAAATAAATCAGACAGAGAAAGACAAATACCACAGGATCTCACTTATATGTGGAATCTTAAAAAACAAACAAATAACAAACAGGCTCTCATAGATACAGAGAACAGATTGGTGGTTACCATAGGCAGGGGCTGGGGGTTGGGGAACCGAATGAAGATGGTCAAACGTACAAGCTTCCAGCTATAAAATAAACAGGTCACGGGGATGTAAAGCACAGCACGGAGACTACAGTTAATAATACAGTATTGCATTTTTGAAAGTTGATCTTAAAAGTTCTTATCACAAGAATAATATTTTGTAACTGTGGTGACAGATGTGAACTAGACTTGTTGTGATGATCATTTTGCAATATGTACAGATATCAAATCATTCCGCTGTACGCCTGAAACTAATGTAGTGTTATATGTCAATTATACCTCGATAAGAAAAATTTGTGATTGGGGTTATAATCACAGCATTCCTGAAAAGTCTGTCTCCTTTATACCAGGCCCCTTCTATGCAGTATTTACTGACGCCCTGTACTTTGCTAATTGCATTATCCCAGGTATCCTTGCCGGTGCTCTAGGGGGTCGGTGTTCTTGTTACATAAAGAATCTGAGGCTCAGAGAGGTTAAGCCACTGGTCAATGGTGTTGGAAGTTTGTTTACACGGTGCGAGTAGGCCAGGCTGATCAGCACTGTTTGTGAAACTTTTCTTAAATGCTGGTCACTGTAGAGATGTGCTGGCAAGATAGAGCTCTTCAGCAGCAGCCAGGGGATTTCTGAGCAAAGTCTATTTTTGTTCCTTGGTTTGTTTTTTCAACCCCTCTACCCCACCCTCCTCCCTGTTCCCGTCTCCTTTTTAGTAGAAAGCCTCTCAGCTGCAGATCCCGACAACCCTGGAAGCCCTTTTGGGTGAAGTTGGAGGGTGATGTCACCTTCCAAAGATAGTCATGTTGTCAAGGTGCTGAGAAACCTGCAGGGCTGCCGGGGAATGAGATCAGAGGGGCCAGGACTGAGGTCCTGGGGGGCCGGAGCAGTCAGCGTAGGTGTGAAGAGGGAGGAACGGGCAGAGGAGGAGCCAGCCAGGCCTCTTCAGTTCAGAGCACAGCCAGATACTGTCTTGAGTGATGCTGTTCAGAGAGCTGAACCCGAGGCCAGTGACCGCCACTGCAGAACTCCAGAAGTCTGGGTGCTTCAGCAAGGTGACTGCATTCACTTGTGGTCCGGACCCTCCAGGGTCTCATCCATGTGGAATAAAGTGCAGTTCGGGGGACGCTAGCCGGACCAGCCAAGTCCGTAGAGTCTGTCTGCTGAGCCACAGCCACCACGGGCAGTAACTGGTTTGCATTAGACAAATGCTGGGCATCTGCAAGCTATTTTTGGTATTCTTGAAAGTGTTGGGCTGCAGGGTCTAACCAGAATGTGCTAGCCATCCAAAAAAGAACTGTTGCCGATGGAATGGAAAAATGCCAACGTCTCTGCCTTGGGCTAAATTAGACGAAGTCAGGCTTTGGCTGGTAACACGGGCTCTCACACCGGATGGAGGCTGTGATCAGTGGTGACACCAATAACCAGCCTGCAGGGAACACTGCCTTGTCCCGGGAATGGGTTACCTGCCTTACTTCGATGAACTCTTTTAATGCTCACCACAGCCATGCGTGTCAGGTCCTTATCCCCACTTTACAGACAAGGAAACTGAGGTTTGGGGAGGTTGCCTAAGGCTGCTGAAGTCACCCAGCTTCCAAGTGGCAGAACCAGAACTCAGCCCCAGGCCATTTGAGAAGGACCCGGCTCTCAGACCCAACTTTGTTAATAAAATAAGGGAAAACTCGTTACTTCTTACTTAATAAATGCAACAGGGCTGGTTAGCATATTTGAAAACATGAACTCTACGTTAGGGTGGGATGGAGGAGATTGATAATCAAAGAAGTCTTTGTCCTGAGAAGCCTGGGAATTATTAGTCTAAGAAATGCCCGCTGGAGTGAAAAGAGGCTGAGGAGAAACTCCCGCCACGTTGATGCAGGGCTTACTCTATGCCAGGCTCTGCGTTTACGCAGCCACCCTGTGCTACATCTCCTGCTCTCCACATCACAGGGGAGGGGCGGGGGCACTGAGAAGCCAAGTGACGTGTCCCAGCTGGGGAGTGGTAGAGCTGAGATTCGGGTCCAGGGCGTCCAACTCCAGATCCTCTCTTAGCCTCTGTGCTGCACCGCGCTCCCAGTTTGTGGACACAGGGGCGTGGCCTCTGAGAGGCTCAGGCTCCTCTTGACTGCTGGGGACTTTCTTTTGCAGCTAGAAGCTGAGGCTGTGTTCCGTGCCATCACCATCGCCAGCCAAACCAACTGTCCTCTTTACGTCACGAAGGTCATGAGCAAGAGTGCGGCCGACCTCATCTCACAAGCCAGGAAAAAAGGTGATTTGTGCTCTCAAGATCTCAGAGCCATTGACACACCATGTGGCTCCTTCCCTCCCTGGCTGTCCTTTATAAATGGTACCTACTTTGCTCATTGCCTTGGTCTCTGGGAAGCCCCTCATCCATGTTAGCCCATTTGATCCTTTCTGTATCCTGTGTGGATGGCAGGATCCTGGGATTGCTCCCACTTGGCAGATGAGTAAACTGAGGCTCAGGAATGGTAAGAGGTTTGCCCAAGATGACATAGCTGACATCAGTTCTTTGAAGACTTGATGCATCTTTCTTCCTCCCTTTGATTTTTCGTTGTCAGTTCATATCATCTGAGCTGTATAAATGAACATATTAGTTAAGATTATATTGGATGCAGAAATCAAAGATCCAACTCAAACTGACCAAACAAACAAAAGTAAATTATTGGTTGAAGATGTTTCAGGTATGGCTGAATCAAGGGCTTTAAACAATGATGTTAGGGCTCTATCACTCTTATTCCTTTCTTGGCTTTGCTTTCCTCTCTGTTGGCCTTATTTTCAGTATGAACAGTGATGAGAATAAATGCCAAGGGGCTCCTATTGTCCTCAACACTTGGTAGGGAGCATGATGAGGAGGTAGAGTACATCTTTTCTAATAGCACGAGGATAAATCCCCAAGAGAACTGTGATTGCCTTGGTTTGGGTCATGGGCTCATCCCTGAACCAATTACTGCTCTGGGAATGGTATAATTGATTGGCCAGGGTTGAGGGCATTGTGAAGATGGAATCCCACCACTTAAGCTACACAAGTTGGGATAAGTTACTGTAGAAAAGGGGTTGAATGGGTCTCCAAGCATGTCTAGCAACAAGGCCTTCATGACTCGGGACCCTATCCACACTCCCTTCTCATTTCTGCTGCTTTCCTCCATCCATTGTTAACGTGGGCTTCATTTACTCAGCTGTGCTTAGCTAAAGGTTACCCCCCATGTCAAAGCTTTCTTTTCTGCTTTTCATTCTTGTCCTCAGTGACACCCTGATGGGCTCGCTTGTGAACAGAGTGTGGCTGAGAAACTGGAGGCATAGGGCTCTGTGCTTGGCTGGGAGAGAGGATTCAGTAGGCCCTGTTGGTTGTACGATCATGACCGCCGTGTGCTGCTGGCCGTTCTGGTGGTGGCGAGACCCAACATGAGTGATTCATTTACCAAACTCACAACTGATCTGTAAAACTCCACGTGTGAGTGACTGGGAAGGCTTAAAATAGTCCCAGCTGACTGTGATGGCTGAGTATTCAGCTGCCTGGCCTTCTGGCAAAGGCAATCCTTTTCTTGTGGGAGGGGAATCTTCCTAATTGTCTAGACAGTCTTTCTAGCCGGCAGATTCTGGGGCACCTCCTGCCTTCCCCTGCTCGCAGTAAGCCTGCTGTTTTCTCTCTCAGCTTTTAAATGTCTCAACATGACGTTGTGTGGTTGCTCCACTGGGTGTGAGTCATCGGGCCAGAATCAGGAAAGCAGTCCACTGTTCCTTACCCATTCTTGGAGAAAGCCAACAAGAAAAGAAAAGTCCACATCTCTCCCCATGACCACCTGCCACACTCGCCCTCTGACACCTGCTGCAGATGGCTACCTGCTGTCTGGGATCCACTCTCAGGGGGACCTGGGGTTCTCAAGGACAGCCTGTTTCAATTAGATGCCGGGTCTTATTTTAAACTTCACATAGAAAAATTCCCCACCCTTATCTGGCTCATGATTCTCTGGCAAGGAGAACGAGTACAGCTGTGTCTCAGGGTGGACGGGAGGCATTATTTCAGTGATGAAAAACTGCCTGTTGAGATTGAGGGCAGTAAACATCTCATGACCTGTCCTTCTCGGGGAAGAGTCAAGAGCTTTCAGAGCAGGAAGAGAGAGGGCAGCAGGGTCTGCTCTTCCCTCCTGACCAGGTTACTATTTAAACCCCAGCGTGTCTAATCATGAAGAGCCCTTTAGTGACTCTGCATAGCTGTTCAAAATTCATATTAGGAGTCTACGATTTAACACGGACCCACTGTAGGCACTACATAGAGATAAATACTTTGTCTTTACTATTATGTAGAATTCTCAAAGAGCCCTGAGAAATTGGCATTATTATCACTAGTTTTCAGAATAGGAAACTGGGAGATCTTGTCCAGGATCTGCCAGCTGGGAGAGCTTGTATTCAAACCCAGGCATAATTGCAATCTTTTCTCTTTCTAGTCTCCCATCTAGAGACAGCCCAAAGAGAGAGCTCTTCCATTTTTAAGGTTGTATTTCCCCTAATAATATTTGAGTGCTTGCCTTGACTTTCATTTCTTTATTTCTTTGTGATCCTGTATGCTTTAGTTTGGTAAATATTTTGGGAGATCCCTTGAAGTTCTCATTAGTCAAGCATTGATCCTTTTTACTGTCCCCCCAAAGAGCAGTGTTGTCATATGTGAATCATTGCCACTGCTTCCTTCTTTTGCCCCTGGCAGACATCACAAATCAATCATGAGTCCTTTTGAATGAGATCAGAAGCATATTTAGAATTCTTCCAGACACAGAATTCCAGGCACGCAAAACCCATTGATTAGAGTTGAAGCAAGGCAATACTTGTTTACAATTCTGGCCATTGAGCCTTCCTACATTTCAATCTTGTGGGAAACTTGAATGTGGAAGATGTAGGATCGAAGCTAGTGAAGCCCAGGGCTGTACAGGAATCTTTAGTTCGAGATTCTGGCACAGAGAAACTTGATACCAACTCATCTTTTGTGAGACAGCGTTTGCCTTCTGATCCTTTCTTCTTTAAGAAGGTCAGCTTGCATCGGTGTGTTTCCCAATATCCTTCCTCCTCTCTCCTTGGTTTGGGCATGTAAGCTCCTAATTCCAGACACAGGGTCCAAGAAGCTAGCCTCATCTTTGATGGGCCCCAGGTTATTGGGTGTCCTTGAGCAAATCACTCCTTGCCTTAGGCTAAGGAGTAAGAAACGTGATGGACAAGATCATGGGATCCTCTCATCCCTGGGAGTAGACTTTACTCTGCAAAACCAAAGTGTGTCCCTGTAACAGCAGGATCTGGCTGTTCCCAGTGAAACGGGCACATCTAGGGCTTTGGGCCCCTACAGTGGGAAAGAGTGGGAGGTGTAAAGAAATCACATTTATTGAGCACCTCCTGTGTGCCAAACACTTTGTATATGCCAAATGTTTTCATTTTTGCAAGCCTGAGAAATTGACATCATCTTTTTTCATCAATTCCAGGACAGATCTTTTCTACATTTTAACATTTCTGAAATGAGGATGGATCTTAGAATCAATGTATTTATTTTTTTCTTTGGCTTCAAATTTTACTTTGCCTCAAAAATTGAGAACTAATGCTGCATCTTGCAACCAATGGCTGCTTGTAATCTAGGGAATACAAAATTGTTCCCATTTAGCAGATAGAAAAGCAGAGGCTTAGAAAAGCTGGGAACGTGGACTTGAACCCAGGTCTGACTAACTCCAGAGCCGCAGCCTGGAGCAGGCTCAGGGGCTGTGATTCTCTGTGCCGGGCCCAGGGCAGCACACACATTCTGCAAGCCCAGTGCCTATTACCCCCCTCTTCCAGGAAATGTGGTCTTTGGCGAGCCCATCACTGCCAGCCTCGGCACAGATGGAACCCATTACTGGAGCAAGAATTGGGCTAAGGCTGCTGCATTTGTGACATCCCCACCTCTGAGTCCCGACCCGACAACTCCTGACTACATCAACTCCTTGCTGGCCAGGTTGGTGCAGAGTGACAAGCAGCAGGCATTGTGTGGAAACATCACGGGGCCAGTGGGATGAGGACTGGAACAGCCCATCCATCAGCTAGACTAGAGTCTGCAGTGAGGAAAACACATTGAGAATTCCCCTGCAGTGCTGAGCAGAGACAACAGGCTCTTCCCCATCATATTTTAAAAATAACTACAGTAATCATATTAATAATGGTAATAGTTAATATGTATTGCATGCTGAGCACTACACACATGATCTTATTGTCCCTCATAACAACTTTATGAGTGGGGAGTATCATCACCATTTTACAGATTAAGCAACTGAGAGCCAGAGAGATGAAATCATTTGCCTAAGTTTGGATGGCTAGTCATGATGACCACCTAACCAAAATGACAGGAGACTCGTTGGCTGCTGCCTCTGAAGATCAGTTCCATCACTCACTTGGAGTGTTACACAAGAGATCTGCTCCCACCCCATCATTTTCCAGATGGGGTATCTAAGCCCCACAGAGGGGAAGAAATTCACCCAAGTTCACATATTGGCAAGAGGCAGAGGAAGGATCCCAAACTCAAGTCATGGCCCTCCAAACGCTTACACTAGACACTCGATTCCCGGCCCCCGAGGTGCCTCTAGCCACCTCTCCCGTTCACATGGAGCTTTTCTCCTCTGCCAGTGGGGACCTGCAGCTCTCTGGAAGTGCCCACTGCACCTTCAGTACTGCCCAGAAAGCCATCGGGAAGGACAACTTCACAGCCATTCCCGAGGGCACCAACGGGGTGGAGGAGCGGATGTCTGTCATCTGGGACAAGGCCGTGGTAAGGATGGAGGTCATGCGAGGGTGGCCAGGGCCAGATCAGGACTTGCTGCCACTGCTCCTCCATGTCCATCTGTTCGGGGTGGCGGGGTGCAGACAAGGACTCACACCTGCTGAGGTGTCTGGAACCAGGTGGCTCAGGTGGTTTGGGAATGTACCTTCTAGAGTGATGAATCCTGAGGTCTAGGATTCTGAGGGGGCCTCCTGGGTTGTTAAGGACTAGGTACGAGATGTACAGATCCTTCATCTGACGCACGAATGATCTGTACTTAAAATAATAGGGAATTAAAATTCTGTTTGTTTGGAGAGTTTTATCACTTCGTTTGAAAGGGGTGGCTATAGCCCTTTGGAAATGAGAAGTGTGGCGTCTCTGCCTAGGACTAAAGTTGTCTTGCTCGTCAAGGGTGCCCTACACTGCTGTGTGGTCATCCAGGCTGTACAAGTGATTGTCTATCAACGTCTTCTGGCAAAGTGGCCTGGCTTTATTTTCCTTGTTAGCATCATAGAAGCTGACCAAAAAAATAGCTATGCAAATGAAGGCTCTCCCTAAGATTTTAGTAAAATTAATAACTCATTATTAAGTTGATCACTTCCCTCTGTTTTATTTTAAGAACCCTAAAGACACTCATTTCAGAGCCAAACAGAATGCAGATAAACTAATGCCTTGTTTGTCTGGACAATGTAATCCACCAAGTTTTCCTTCTTGGCTCCCAGGAAGCTCAAAGCTAGATTTTTTTTTTGCTGAGGAAGGTTTGCCCTGAGCTAATAGCCATTGCCGATTTTCCTCTTTATTTTCTTTTTTATGTGAGCCACTGCCACAGCATGACCACTAGCAGATGAGTGGTGTAGGTCTGCACCCAGGAACCAAACCCAGGCTGCCAAAGCAGACTGTGCCAAATGTAACCACTAGGCCACCAGGGCTGGCCCTCAAAGCTAGATTTTAAACTAAATTCTTCTTTCCTTACCCAGGCTTTTTGTTTTGAGAAGAGGGAAGGTATAAATATTTTTGTCTCTTACATAGATTTTGTCTTTTTTTAACATCATTATGTATTTGTGAATGTACATATATATTTATGTTGGCACTATCTGGAATTGTTAAAAAATAATATACATATTCTTATTACCAACATGATACATGCTGAATCAGGAATACTTGGAAACCACAGAAAAGTGCACACACGAAAGAAAACAAAAATGACTGATAATCCCACAATCCAGCCATGACCACTGTTATCCTCTGGGTGAGGTTCTTCCCGATTTGACCTATGCCCATGTAAATACAAACACATGTCTAAAAAAATGGACTCATAGTCACATTTGTTTTTACTATGAACTCTCTATAATCCTTTTTAGAATTAGAAAGGATAAATAAGTAGGTAGATGTCTGCACATATGCAAACTTCAGGAGCAGTAACTTCCATCTTAAGCCGTGCACTTAACCATTTTGCCCGGGCCACCATGATGGCCAAGCTGATTCCATAGGTTGCTGGATGGAGTTCCATCCTCACTACCTCAGAATCCCCTCTTTGTACTCCATTTCTTGGCCTTGGTGGTCACCCCACTCTGAGCTCAGAAGCCCTAGATTGACAATTTTTCTGTTTTTTATATTTCAATAGGCCACAGGAAAAATGGATGAAAACCAGTTTGTGGCCGTGACAAGCACAAATGCTGCCAAGATCTTCAACCTGTATCCCCGTAAGGGAAGAATATCTGTGGGTTCTGACAGCGACCTGGTGATCTGGGATCCAGATGCTGTAAAGATTGTCTCTGCCAAGAACCACCAGTCGGTAAGGCTGGAGCTGGTGGGAGTGGAACAGACGGGAGAATGTGTGCAAGGAACTTGGTCAGCAGAGATGTGTGTATGTGGCGTGCGGGGGTAGTCAGACTAGGAGGTGTTGCAATAACAAACCATCCCAAATTCTCAGTGACTTAAACCCTCAACAGTTTATTTCTCACTCCTGATTTCTAAAATGGGTCAGCAAAGGGGCTCTGCCCATCCTGGTCACTCAGGGATGGAAGCTGATGGAGGTGCCATCTTTATCCACGGTTCCGTGATTGCTGAGGCTAGGGGCCAGCACGTGGTAAACGGTGTACTGGCTCTGGAAGCTTTCCCGTGACATTATTTCCTCTCCCACTGTGTTGGCCAAAGCCAGTCCTGTGGCCGTACCTTCCTCCAGGGGTGCAGGAAGTACAATGATAGGAGGGGAAAGAATAGGAAAAAACTGGTGACCAGCACTGACATCATCATGAGGACTTCCATGTGGAAGATAATAATTAAAGCCCAGTGCCTAACAGAAAGGGGCTTCATAGTTGTTAGTAGAAGTAGTTTTCAAGCACTTTAATTCATTGCATCTTCATAGTCTTTTACAGATAGACACTATTATCATCCCCATTTTATAGATAAGGAAATGGAGATGCAGAGAGACAAGATAAGTTATACAGCAAGGAAATGGTGAAGCTAGGATTCAAACCTAGAGGACCTGACTCCAAACTCATGTCCTTAATCACTTTGCAATAATGCCTTGAACTTGTTGAATAAATGAAGAGGGTAGGGAGAAATCCCATTTTGGGTGGGAATGGCCTTTGCTTAAACCTTGTGTCGTATCACATTATTTAATTTCGAGCTAGTGGGGACCTAAGGGTCAATGTAGCCCACTTACTCACCCATTCAACACAAGGCCATCAAGTACAGCATCCCTGTTGGTTATCCAGGTTCTCTCTGAAACTGCCAGCGACCAAAGTTACTTCTGCATGAGGACCTTACTAAAGACGGATGCCTCTCTTTGCTGGAAATTCCAGCCTTTACTTAGCGAGTATCTGTCTCATGGTGCCTCTACCCACTGCAGCTTGCATATGCCTTGTAAGCTTTTCCTGGCCTACCTGGCGAATCAGTTCCTAGTGACCCTGAAGACAGGATCCCAAGCCCAGGAGAACCACTTCCTTTTTTCTCCCTCCTGCACCCACACCCACAGCTTTGCCCTCACCCTGTCTCTAGGCTGCAGAGTACAACATCTTTGAAGGGATGGAGCTGCGTGGGGCGCCTCTGGTGGTCATCTGCCAGGGGAAGATCATGCTGGAAGATGGCAACCTGCACGTGACGCAGGGGACCGGCCGTTTCATCCCCTGCAGCCCGTTCTCTGACTATGTCTACAAGCGCATTAAAGCCCGGAGGAAGGTAAGACACACCTGGGGGAGAGGAAGGGCTGTGTCCCATTCAGGCACAGGGACAGTAACCATGAGATTGGGAGGGGTCTATAGCTCAGGACCCTCCCAGAGAAATTCACAGCAACAGTCTCTTCCTGAAGGACAATCACACAGATTTAATGTATTAGGAAGGAGGGTTTCAGAAACCTTTCTGGCTAAAGAAGCTTTTTTAAAATGAGTTTCCTCCACTTTTGTAATGCTTTTTTAAAAAGTAATTTAAAATTTTAGTAATTCAAAATCATTAAAAAATATATACTGATAAATGGCAAATGTTTGTAACTCTTTTAGCTAGTTCTGTGGTTCAAGTAAAATCTTATTTATGGCCCTGATTTCACAGATAGATGGATGGATGCACACACACTTGTGTATACATATTTATGTCTATGTGTATGTGTGTCTGTCTACACATTACAAACAGAGTAGCCCTTGTTGATTTAGGGGTGAGGCCCAGAACAGTCTTTTCAGTTCCCCCTCCCACCCCACATCAGTCTCCAGGTCACCTTCCTATAAAGTTAGGGCTCTGCAAAGCTGGGTTAGCCCAGCCCTGGGGTCGTGAAATTTGAGCCCGGGTCCTGACCTCGTTGTTAGAAAGGATACAGTCATCTGTGCTCATGGGATGGAGGAGATGCTGGGGAGAAGAGGAGAAGTGGGGCTCACTTTGTAAGTCACTTTGGGCCAGTCCAGAGGAAGCAGCCATGCCCACCTCTGTGCCTGGACCCACCCCAGGGCCCCCGGCCTCCCTGCAAGTCAAGGTGAGAAAGAGAGCCTGGGAAACAGACTCTGAGAGAGAGATTTTCCCCCACAAAGGCCTCAGCTGATAACAGGGATATTTGGATCTGGCCTGGTCCTTGAAGGGGGTCTGGGCCTTGTGTTCACTCCCATGCTCCCCCACCCCAACCTACGAACCAGTCACTGGATGTGGGGTGCCCCTAGGCAGAGGGCGAGGCCTTGGGCAAGGTGGCTATCTTCAGCTGAGGGCAGTTCTTGGAAGAGACTCAGCTGAGAACTTCCTACTGCCAACACCTCCAGCGGCTGGGAGAATGAGTCTTCAGTCGTGATCATGAGGTAGGGGGCTGGGGACAGGAATATGGGTGCACACTCCAGCGTCTACACACTATGGAGAGAGGCTCACAGAAACTCAATAAGTAAGTGCCCCATCCCACTCCCAGACCCCCAGTGATCCCAGTAAGTGGTTGTCAGCCTCTGTATGGACATTTGCAACACAGGAAGCCTCCCCACCTTTGAGGCAGCCGACCTGCTCTGCCTGTGAGAATGAACTTCTTTCTGCTGAGCTGAAGTCTGCCTTCCTGAAGGCGACCAACCAGCTCAGTTCTGCTCCTGGCCCCTGCACAGAATGAGCTAAACCCATCTCTCAAAGCATCCATGTGTTTCCAAAGTCATCTATGGTTTAGTCTAAAAATCCCTGTGGCCTTTCACTTTTTATTTTATGACAACGCTTTGAATCCCTTCACTATTCTTATCTCTTTATTAGTGATCGTTTTAAAGTTAGTTATATGGAGTCAAATTCCACACTCCAGTTTTGGCCCAATAGAGAACAGAGTGAAACTCAAACATCCCTTATTTTGGCTCTTTATTTCCATTAATGTGACTTTGATTCTGAACCCAAAGAAATGATGATCTAGAGTTATTGGTCAAGGGTTTGGGGGAGGATAGTCATCCTCTCACCTGAATTATTAGCATCCGCAAATTTGATTGGCTTTGCCTCTGCACCTGCGCCTGAGTCACTAACAGAGAAGGAAGGCTCTGTGGCCCGCCTTCTTGGAGTCTTACCATGAGCCATCCTGTACTCTCAGGCTCCACGGCAACATGTCCTCATTGCCTCATCTCTGGCCAATGATAAGAAACATGCGGAGGTTGTGTGTTGGCCTTACCGCTGCCTCAGGTGGTCTTGCTGTATTTGTGCAATAGCCTGTGAGCCCCTTGGGGGAGGCACCGTGTTTCATGTGACCCTGAGCCCCTGTGCCTGGCACCAGGCCCAGTACAGAATATGCACTTGAGTGATGCTGGCTGGCTCCAGGGCAAGTTCACAGCCACAGCCAGAGGTCAGCGGGTCAGACCACAGGATGTTCATTTCAAGGGCTGCCAACTCTGATCTGTGCTGAGGAGCGTGAATGTCGAGCTCCCACAGAATCTCATTCCTGCCAGCACCTGCCACCTCGTCTCAAATTGCCACCCTTCCCGCCCGCTCTCCTCCAGCCCGACAAGCGCGGTTCTTCCATTCCGTACCATTTCACCATTGGTTTCTTCTGCTGGGAACGCTGCCATCCACACCACTCCTCTGCATCCCCCAGCCTCCTCCTTCCCTCAGCCCCAGCCCCATAACGAGCTCCTTTGATCCTTAAGGTCAAAGCTCACCTATTTGGAGAGGCCTTCACTGACCACCTCCATTGTCACCCTATCGTAACACCCCCCTTTATTTTATACTACTTCTCCTTTCCTTAAAATAATACTACGTTGATTTTCTGGTTCCCACTACACACACTAATTCACTGTTATGTTTGTGCTGTCTAGAACAGATTCGAACTGTTGAAGGAATAACCAGTGATGCACTTTCTCTGCTGCAGATGGCAGACCTGCACGCTGTCCCGAGGGGCATGTATGATGGGCCCGTGTTTGACCTGACCACCACGCCCAAGGGGGGCACACCTGCCGGCTCCACCCGGGGCTCTCCCACGCGGCCGACCCCTCCCGTGAGGAACCTCCATCAGTCGGGATTTAGCCTGTCCGGTGAGTTGGACAAGCTGATGGTGACCTTTAGTGAGGGGAGGAAGGAGCGGGAGAGGGAGAGATCTGTGCTCTGGGGCTAATGGGTGATCCTGGGAGCAAACCCGGAAGGCCTTTGCCAGCCCAGTGCCACATCACCTTTTAGGGAGAAGGTTACTGGGGCAAGCAGGAAAGTTTGCAGAACCAAAGAGGAGTCTTGTTGAGAAAGTAAGCCCAGGCTCAGTCAGGTTAAAGATTAGGTTTAAATGATGACCAATTCTGCTTAGAGATCACACCTGGTCAGGGCGGGGGTGGGAGCGTGGCTGGATGGTTTGCATTATGAACTGATCATGATTCTCTGCATTAGACTGTGAGAGCTGTGCAATGTGTTGGGTTTTCTTTGTTTGCCCAGGTTCAAAGATAGCTTATTTTTATGCTTAAGTTGCAATAACTTCTTCTAACCTAGGATTTTTATTATATTCTCTTTATTATATTTATTATATTAATAATGATAATAATGCCAACATAGCTACCATTGATAGCACATTTACCATGGGTTAGCCAGATCATTCATCTTATCTATTCTTTAAGAACTGTCTGATATTAAAAGAAAATAATTATTCCATTGCTCCATTACCTGTAGTCTTAAAATGGGGAAAAAATAAATGTAGATTTGCATCTCTGGTGAACAATTTAAATGTGACGGAGGCAAGATAACAAGGGAGAGGGATTAAGTAAAGGGAACAGTATGGGGGAACAAGAAGAGTATGAAATGGGAGAAACAGGGAAAGAGGGAGAAAAAGCAATGAGCGAGACAGATGGGGAGGAAGACAAAGAAAAGGGCTGACAGTTTTGAGGTGCCGTTGCCAGAGGTGACCTTCTGCTAACCACAGAAATTTTTGTCCGTGTTTTGCCATTTTCCATTGCTCCCTGGCTATGGTGACCCCTAAACTTACAATGGGCATAAATGCACGTCGCTGTTTCCTTTTGTGCTGTGGCCACAGGGGCCCGACCATCACCCCCCAAGCTCTGAGACCCTGGCAAGTGACCTAACCCCTCACAAGCCTCAGTCACTCCTCTGCAAAGTGGGATAAAACAGTCCTCCTCCCCAGGATAGTGGTAAGGATTGAATGAGAGGATCCGAGAAGCATGTAAAACCCTGCCTGTCACTATGAATGTAAGCAGCTATTTTTCGTAGTGTTATCAGTGTTCTTTTTATTAGCTGTGTTATGATGCTGAGAGTCCCGTGAAATCTAGATGTGAACCTGGCTTTTTCCTGGCAGAGGGTGGTTTTCGGGAAGGTGGGTATGAAAAGTGTAGAATACTTGACAGACTGGAATAGAAGTGTCTTGAGAGATGAATGTAGGAAGGCACTTAATATCTTACACCCTTAAAATTAATCCACTTTCTCTCTTGTCCACACCCCTCTCTCTCCCTTTTTTCTCCCTGGGAATTTCTTGCCAACTGCAGGCACCCAAGTGGATGAGGGGGTCCGCTCCGCCAGCAAGCGCATCGTGGCGCCCCCTGGAGGCCGTTCTAACATCACATCCCTGAGTTAAGCAACCCCTCCGCAGAGGGGCAGAAGCAAGAAGAGATTTCTTTGAAGCCAAAATGGTACACCAATATTTAAGAAGGAAAGCGAATCCAAACAGTTGCGATCTAAAGAATCAATAAGCCTCAAGCCTTATGTTTCTCCAATGTTACGCTCGCTTGCCTAGCTTTACGAATATTGCTTTGTTTTCTGTTTATGCATAGCCTTGATTGGTTTGAGCCCCCCCCCCATTTACATGCATGCAATCAGACAGGCCACTAAGGTGAAAGAGTCTGCTATATAGTGTCGAGAGCGTGTGTAGTGCTGCATCTTATGACAAGGGGACAGACAAAGCTGGGATGTCAGGAAAATGATAGAAGGGACGCAGGTTATTTGGGGTGAGTGGGTGGTGGGAGCCCAGAGCAAAGCGGAGGGCTCAAGGGTGGGGTAGGGTGGATACGGGGGAGGTGGGTGGGTGAGCTGAAGGGGTCTTGTGTATTGTGTTGATGAAGTGCGTTTATTTCCATGGAAGATGGCCACTTGGGCAGCCGTCACTTCATCACAGTCCCCCGGGGTCTGCGGAGAAGACAGGCAGTCTTTGGGTTCTGAACTTGGTCACGTCCCCTCCTAGTAGATTTTATTCCTTTGAATGTTTTATTAAAACACCAAAATCCAACCATTGCTTCCACCTTCTTGGTCGTGCCAGTGTTTGGTCGGGCCTCTTTCTCAGTGTTGCTTTCAAATTCTTCTCTTTCCTGGCCTGGGAAGGGACAGAGGAGAGAAGAAAGGACACTTCTCTGCCTCTGGCTCTCCCTGCCTCTTTGGTGCTCTTAAAAGGCAACAGCTGGGCGCAAGGCAAGGCCCTCAGGGTGAGGGCAGCCACGCTGAAGTAACACCTCCCTCTCCACATGTGTTGGAGATCACCTTCCACTCAGCTGTCTTTGCAAACGAGAAGAGTAGCATGCCTCTGGCATCCTGAGTTAGGATCGGAGCTCAGATGGGCCTGAATAAAGGGCTTCTCTTGCCACCATGAGCATTTGATTCTCTCCATCTCCTGAGATCCAGGCACATCCATGACAGAAGAGGACTTTTCGTTGCTGTTGAGAATTACTTTCTTAGGTGTTCCTAACTTTCACTAGTACTAGGTAATCTCAGCTTCTATGAGACTCAAGCAGGGCTTTGGGAAAGCTAGTCTGGAACAGAGGGAGCACATTCTGTGGCCCTGGTTCTAATTTTCAATCCTAAACCATCTGTTTCCCCTACCGTTAGCATATCCTTTGGGGGAACTTTTTGTTTCAGTATCAGAATCTCCTAAGGTGAGTGGAAGTGACATGCAGCCTCCTGATGTGGCACGTAGAGGAAATTAGCATGAAGCATTTGCATCTGTCTTGTCTGTCAGAGCTGAGTGTCCATTTCCCCATCATGCCACTTCTGAAAATTCAATTTTGGGGGCAAGTTCTGTAAGCCAGATGAGGATCTATAGAACCAAGAGGCCCAGATACAGAAATAATATATTCAACCTGGGATCAGACTTCTGTGCTTGGGGGATCCAGCTGGTAGAACCCATAACCGTGTGCTCTAAGTACTTTGAAGAAAAGAGCAGGCCTCAGACACCTTTCAAGTGCTTAGGAGGAGCCATTATCTCTGACTGCAGGTTTTTATAACTTGAAGACCAGAGAAAAGGAAATGCATGGCTAAAGAGGAATTTGGAAATAGCCAAAGAAGAGGATTTCCCCTTGAAAGCTAACGTGTTCTAATCATGAAAAAGTTTATTTTTCTTCATAATAGGGAATCTTGCTATTTTAAGCTTTTTTATGGTCCCTTTATTTTAAGGGAAACAAGTGAAGGGGAGGATTAGCTCTTAATTTATAACTCAGAGATTTGGGGGCCTATCGTAGAACTGGGAATGATGGTTTTGTAGGCAGAGGGAGCGTGTCAAATGGGAAGCATCTATATACCTCATTGGCTGGGCTGGGGATATGTTGCAGTACCAGCCATAAACACCAGATGGAGGAAAAGACGCGTTAAATAACTCTAGTCGGAACATCCACTTGGGTCCCATCTGCTGCTGTTACCCAGCCCGAGTCCAACTCATCCCTCTGCGACCTCTCTATGCCGTGAAAATAAATCTTTCATAGCCACTTGGTCACACTCAGGACTTCTGAATGAAACATTCAACCAGAACTTTATATTCTACACAAGCTTTCCTTGCTGTAGAACAACCCCTTAATGCCTTCACGATGGGCAACATGATCTGAGGAAGCCTCTCTTTCTTCACTTATTAACTTCCCAAGCATAGAAATTCCTGAGAATGCCAAGAAAACTCCCACTGTTTTCTTGGCTTTGATTTCTGATTACTTGTTACTTAAGATTTATATTCAGATTTGTCCTGTTCCATGAGACGCATCTAAGAGCCCCATACAAAGGGTTTAGGACGAGAACATGACAATGAGTCACAGCCCTCTCAAAATTCACTGGCGTCTCACCCAAGTGTGGGAGGCCATGCTGGGTCCTCCTCTCCCCACCATGCTTTCTTTTGCTGTCTCATCCCTTGGCCTGGCCCCTCTCTAAGTGACCTGCCTTCCCCTCACCTTCTCCATTATTCCTAAACCCAGATGACAGTCAACTGAGTTTCTCTCTGGGAGGGTCACCATCTTGGGTAGTTGAGAAGGTATTTGTGGAACTGTTAAATCAGCCATCCCGTGGAGATATTTCTTCTAAGTTTTCTAAAAATGGCAGGATTGTAGTTATCCCGAAAATGGGTTTTCTTTAAAGTCCAATCATCCTGTGGCTTTTTCTTCGTAACTACACCCAGAGAGTCATGCTCTGCTCCAAAGGCCTCAATCCAAAGCCTGGACTGTTCACCCTGAGAAGCTCTTCCCAACAGGGTGATAATTCCCACCAGCTCCTTGCCCCAAGTTTCCCAAGCCTTCTCCCTTAGAAAACTCCAGCTTGAGTCCCAGCTATACACATGGGCTTTCCTGGGCAGCCAGCATCCATTGTAAGTTCCCTCTTGGAAAATGGTGTGTGGGTGTCAGTTCTGTGTCTGGTGAATATGGACAGACAGTAACTATCTCCCTGTGATCTGTGGTAGCTGTGAGGCAGCTCTGGAACGTGAAGAGCTGTTTGGTTTGAATCGTGAAGAAAACTGTGTTTTGAGTTTAGCTGAGATTAAGAAAAAAAAAAAAGTTCATCAAGTGACTGTTAATGTAAACCTGGTTATTAAAATAACTCAAATTATAGATGTCGTCCAGCCTTCTTCTGTGTGCGACGTGCCATTTCACCTACCATATTAAACTTGCACAATAAAACTGAGATGGTTAGTGAGAGGGGCAGTTCTGATGAAAACAGAGTTGTCCTCAGAAAATTTGGAGAGTTTCTATCTTTTCAGTTGAGGTCGAGTTTTTGCTTTGGCCACAATGTTTGATGACCGTTATTGAAACTTTGGGGAATGACTGAAGTTTTTTCTGTGGATCCCCCAATTTAGTATTAGTGGAAAAGACATTGCCCATTGGGATAAATCCAGCTGAGTCCAGAACAGATCCTGAAAGTTTTTTTTTCTTTTTTATCATCCCCTTGAAGCATTTTCTGCTTCTTCCTAAAAGCCTAGACTTTGAGAAAACTCAAAACTAAGCATGTTCCAAAATACATTCTTTAGCAAACTGATCTCAAGTTGTCTAATGAGTATTGGAAAGGCTTATTTACTAAGTCAACTCCTCTGAGAGATTTAAAGTACATATCATCAAGTTAAAGGCTCTGAGAAATCCCATGTCTTTCAAAATTTGTCTACTTCCAGGTTCTCAAACTTTTTTTTGACTACTGAACCCTCTTATATCATCTTTCAACATTCCACCAAACCTGTTTTACTAAACCCTTTTGGGAAAACACTATTAGATCCAATTACAGTTGATGCAGGACATTTTTCTTTGCAAATGTTAGACTAGTATATGCAAAAAAATTCTTTCGAAAAGAGTTTTTAAAAGTCTGGTGTAACTGAAAATTCAGGGATGGATTTGGGTAGATTCAAGCACAGATTCTTTCCATCTCTAAGCCGTACTTGCCTTTAGTAAAGTGCTTCATTCTTAGGAAAGCTCTTTCCATGTGGGAGCAAAACTGGCCATCAGCATCGCCAGGTTTCCATTTTACCTGCTTAGCAACTTCGGAGGAAAGAGACAGACTCCCTCCATAGTTCCAGACTGATTCTGATTGGTCTGGCTTGGGTCATGTATTCACCATTGAACTAGTCACTGTGGCTGGGAGACTGGGGGACTGATTTGCCACATGCCCAGCCCCTGAGCGACCTTGAGTGGACCCCTTGATTTGACTCTCAAAGAAAAACAATTTGTGCTACTAGAAGAAGAGGTGACGGATGCTGGGCAGCCAAAAACAGCAGATGGCCATGGCACCATTCTCAAGCCTGCAGGGCATGAATGTTTTGCTCAGCAAAGTATATGTGTGTGGGTTGGGGCAGGTGGAGAAGGGGACCAGGGGATGGTAATTTCTGATGAATTGCTTTTATGTGCGACGAACCCCTCTTAGTTTGGGAGAACGACGTTGTTAGTATAGGAGCACACAGTACTCGTACCTTTTAACACAGAAGCTCAGAAACCATGTCAAAGCTAGCCTGAGCATATAAAGAATTATTTAAACTTGACATTCAAGGTTTGATGATTTGGCCCATAGTCCCATTTTGTGGCTCAAACTCAGGATTGGTGAAACACCTCTCTCCTTACGACCAAGGCAGCAACTGAGCTCTGCTTAGGATTAGCATGGGTTTAAAGGGCATAGTCAATGCTTAAAATGAACTCAGGTTGCAGGGCTGTAAAAGGGATGAAGTCTTTTTTTTTAAGTTAGTGAAATTCACACACTGACTAACTTTCACACCTCTGCGGACTGAGTCACACTGACCAGGTGAGGAATGAGAACACTGAGTAGGAATATCAAGGTCTTTCTGGTTTCAAAGAACTTTTTGGAATCAGCTCTGCTACCATCAAGCCCTCTCAAAGGGAACACCCATCCTGAGCAGGAAATGGGGTATGAAAGGGCCAAGGCAACCGGCAAAAATGAGATCACATACTTAAGGCTGGCACTCTTTAGAATCAAAAGAGGTCTAGATGCTGCTTGTGCTCAACTGGCTGCTGAGAACACAACAGGACACTTAACATGACCCAGACAACACGGCACCCATCACGCAGGACTTTAGAGCCCACAGTGTGACTTACAAGAACCCATTTATTTCAGGACAAGCCTGAGGAACCAGCTGGCCTACTGGTTGCTAAGCTACTGTAGGTCTGAGAGGTAGTTGGATGGTCCCTTTAGCCTCCCCTAAGGCAGACCGTTGCTTCTAGCTGCAGGAGTTCAGAGCTCTTACCTTCCTGTCCATGGTTATGGGCCTCGGAATATCCCCCTGCAGCTTTGGTGTAAGGAATGGGACAAAGATGTTGAGGGGTAGGAAGGCAGAGTGCTGTGAAAAGAGGCGCCTGGGCTGTCCATGGCCTTTAGGTCATTGTGAAAGTCCAAACCCAGAATTCTGGGCTGTGCTTCCTAAGGTGTGAATACTAGAGGGGTCAGGTGTTTAGTTTTTATACGCATAGATCAGTTAAGTGGTGCTGCATTCCCTGGTTGTACACCCTCATCTCCAACACCAGCTTGGCTCTGCTAAGGGACATCCCTCATGGCAGGAAATGGAAGTAAGAACAGGAGACTTTGGGGACCCATGACCCAGCCTCTAGGAAAAACAATACACACATGGCTGACAAAGAAGGGTCAGTGGCGTACTGTATACAGAAGACATTTTAATGCACGCAGGCACATTTACATTATAAATGCCACAGCTCAACAGAAGCACGCATTTCCCATCCAAGGCTGCCTGTTGACAACAGCATAGATAACTGAAGTTTGGATTTTTAACATCCATGTTTAATATCAGATGCATTGAGCTTGTAAGAAACAGCAATCGCAGGCAGACAGAGTCGGAAACAGGATTTGGTGCAGACAGGGTGCAGGGACAACTGGATACTGAAACAAGCGCACTATGCTTTTCAGGCCTTTGCATTCAGATTTTGAAGAATATAAGCCTTAGCATTACTGTGCCAGCCAAAAGCAGCAACACGGGGTCCCGCTGGCTATGTTAACATTCTTTCTCCCTAGTTAGATATTCATCCATCCAATCTAGGAAAGCTAGGATGATATAAAGTAGTCATTTCTGGTTAAATCTTTCCTATCAGAAGAAGCCTAACCACTAATTAATTCAGTTACCCTAATTAATTCAGGAGTGCTCTGTGCTGCTTGACATTCCTTCCTGCCCTAGCAATGCCCTCAGCCAAACCCAGTGCTGCTATTGAGCTGTGCCAGCCTAGCATTTCCTTCCATGGTGTTAGGGTGGCAGGGCTGCCCCACCCATCCCCTAGGGGTCGCTGTGAATGCACTGGGCTGGATGGCCCTGCTGCAGTACAAGTGTTACAATCAGGATGCTTCTGGTCTTCAAAACCTCAAACTTTTCAGATGCTCCACACAGGTAAAGGAGGAAGCTGTTAGGAGAGAAAGAGTCCAGGAATACCAGACAAAAGGATGCAACAGTCACCCTGTTTTCTAAAATTCTTAGCCCTGAGCCTTGGTTGTCACCAATCTAGACGAGACATGTTCTACCAGGTAGGATAGTAACTTTTAGTGGAAGTTATGGAATAAAACCAAAGGATCTGATTGAAGAAACTAGCAATCATGGTAAGGATTTAGGCATCCTTTTATTTTTTGGAAGATTTTTTTGTCCTAATGCTCAAAATCTCCAGTGGTAGGGGGTGCTTATAAGCATTGTTCTACACTGATAGAGGTGGTGCTTTTTCTTTTCTACCTTGAAACACATTGTGGGCCTGTAACGTGAGTAGGACCCTGTGCGGCTGTGCTTGCTAGTCAGTGCATCCTCGGCTCCGGAAAGCCCAGAGAGGTACTTCAGGCTTAGAAGCAGGTCACCGGAAATAAAAACTAAGGATTCAAACTACAGAGACTGTATTGGGCTCCTATCCCATTATAAACTGCATAGATCTGAAATGGCACAAATGATTAGTTCTCCTCGCAGTGGAGACCCTCCTGACCCCACTGCCCTTTGGTAACTGTTTCTCAAAGTCTCTCCTTTGAGATGATACATATAGGGTCACAGCAAGAGGAAGAAGCAGGTGACTGAGTGCATAATTCCCCAGCACATCAGGGCTGCAATCAAACAAATGAAAGATGGACATTGGTAAACATGCAAGTGGCTGCTGACACTCCTGGGGTTACCAACCTGGAGCAGAATCTGGTCACCCTGTCATTCTTGTCAACCTGTCCCCCTCTTTATGAAATTTAGTCAAGGCCAACACTTACAGTGTTTAGAGAAAAACAAAATGGCTTAGACAAATAATGTGCAGGAAATATAGAGAAAAGGAATCAAACAAATAGAACAAAAGAGCTGGCTTTTAATTCTTAACAAAAATATAGTTGCTCTTAAGTGGAGAGGCACTGTTTCAGAGCTCTGCCAGAAATTCTCGGCCTATTGCCGAGTTAAAGTTCAGCACAGGCTTTCTACCCATGTTTAGTTGTCCCGGTGCAACCTCCCTTCTAGAAAAGTCCTCTGTAGCAGGCAGCCATCTCTGTTACTTCTCCTGCCTATTTCCATCTGTCTGGCTTCCCCAAATAGGCCCCAGCCTGGTCTTCCCTGTTGCCAGCTTACTGCCATCTTGGTAAGACCCATACTCTCCATCAGTAAGCACAAGGGTTATTAGGTGGTCCAAGTGGCCAATAGGTTACAACAGTTCCCCACCGCCCGCCCCCAGGCCTGTCCACTTCTTGACTCTCTGCCTAGGGCATGTGAAATTGCCAAAAATAGTTCCTCTGCAAAGATCTTCTGTGTATCAGGAGGGTGAAGTTACATCATACGCACATCTCATTTAGGTGAATTAAACTTTGTTTTTGGCAAATAAAATATACAGAAAAAGAGTGAGATATCAAGAATATTTTACATAATTAGGCAATTCTGCCCACCATTCTTGCAGTAAGCACAAGTAAGTATTGCTGCTCCCTTAGTCAGTCTCCGTGACCTTAGACCTCTCAGATGTGTGGATGCCCCGTAAGGGTAATTCTAGTCTGTAAAGGCAGGTATGATTTGTTCAACATTTTAGTTCATTTGGTATTAGCCAAAAATGAGACCAAAAATAAAAGACAAAACTAACCAAAAACAATGACTTGCTTCATTATTGAAGGGTAATTGACTATACTGGGCTTCTCCAAGAAAAGATACCCACCTTATGTTAGGGGTAATTTACAGGATTTCTCAAGGGTCAATTTTACTATCTTCCAAATTCACCTCACATTCTAACTTCGAATATAACTCCTGGGTAAGGTACAAAGGTACAACTCTGATGTACTACAAGGTGGACATGCTTTCAATGTGGCAATCAATATCCTTTTCTGATCCTCTCCAGACACAGGCCTCTGATAATCTTAAGTGGACAATTAGCCCTCAGGGAACATGCTTAGATGAGGGTGAGCAGTATGCTAATAAATACTTAACAACTAACAGCCCTGATTTGTAGCATTTGCCAATTTCCATGGTATAAATACTCCCATCATCACCAGTTTCAACTTCCTGACTTCGCATCACTGTACAGGGCATTGGGACAGATGTGCACAGCTGGCTCTTGCTAGCTGTCACAAGCTGATGTGGTGTGCTGACTCCAGCACACCACTGGAAGGCCCTCATTAGTCTGTGTTATTCCTCATCTGGCCCCGGTCATTTCCTCCAGACTGAGTTCTTTACTCCTACGCAATCGGGCTGGGGGATTCTGACCTCTTTCGGAAGTTTTCTAGCTCTGAAGGGCCTCACTCAATCACCCACCTATGTCCCTTTGCCCATTTGTCACAGTGTGATTAGAAGGAGTGGAAAAATAAATCTACATCCAAATATTCCTTTTAAAATAAAAATAAAGGCTGTTTAGAATAACAGGATTGTAGCAGTAAAAAGGCAGCGTAGCGCTCATCTAGTATAACCTCATTTTAGATGAATAAACCAAAGCAGAGAAAGTGGTTAGTGACTTGCTCAAGGTCACAGTTAGTGGTCAAACTAGTTCCCAGGAGCCCAGGGACTCCTCACTGTGTCATTCTGCCTCCTTCCAAAGGTTTATCACATTTCCAAGGTGTGTGAGGTGTGGAGAGGCGAGAAGTACTGTCAGCTCTTTGTGACGTGGAAACCGGAAGCTCCTGGCCTGAGGTACCAGGCAATGTCCCAAGAAGATGATGTTGAGGACTTCACAGGTTGTTATTCTGGCCATCCTCCTCTTCTGGGTCTTTGGTGTGTTCCAAGGCTAGATTTGCTTGTCTTTTATTAAAGTCCCCTTTTACTCTTAAGAGGCAAAAAAAAAAAAAGGTTTATTTTTTAAAAAGGAAAAGAAAACAATTTAAGCTTTTGCCATGATAGCATTAAGCCCAATAATTTACAGAGTTAGAAGCCAAGGAAACCTTAAAAATGTCATTGATTTTAAGTGTTTAAACCCCAATTCCTATGCCCTTCCCATAAAGAGAAACTTAATCCTAAGCCACTTCGCCTATTGCAATTTTTGAAATCTCTTACAAGAAAAAATGGTTTCTGAATTTTCCAAATTGTCTATCATTGCTATGCATCATTTATGTAATTAGAAAGAGGAAAAAATGTTAAAAAATATATTAAGACTCTGCAAGTAAATTCTGGCTGAACCACTCTATCATTTGCCAGGCTGCTCTTCTTCCACAAGTTACTTACTTTTCTCTGTTAAAAATTATGAACTCCTTTTGGACAGACGCAAGGTGCTCTTGAAGAAGGCACGCCTTCCAGGTGAACATTGCAAAAGAATAGAGGTAGAGTTAGCAGACCAATGAGGATCCTCAAGCAGCCAATAAATAAAATGAATAAATAATAAAATAAACAGCCTATTGAGTGTCTCTTCACTGAATGGCCCAAATCGAAGAAGTACCAATGTATTTTCAAAATGGATGCTCTCTGAATGTTTGTAGCAGGAGTGAGATCCCAACCAGAATAAGAGGACAAATAAGGAAGAAACAGCAAGAGGAGAAAATAACGTCAACACCCTGCTCCCCATAATGAGCCAGCAAGGAAGACCTGGGTTATGGTTTAAGAGCTTGATGGCTTTCAGCCTCTCAGGCTGAGAAGAAACCACAGCTTCAAGGTGGGTGAGGGCAAGGATTTAATGAGCTGTTGTTACATTCTGGCCTCTCATCTCCTGGGCCTCATGTGGAAAGTTCGGAGGTTCCACTTGGATTTAATGAATAGTCTAGAAACATCTCTTCATGCTGATTTCTGATTGAATGTTCCCCTCAACAACTGTACTGGAGTTGATTAACTGTACTGCAGTTGCTGTGACAGAGCCTTCTGTATCTGTGACTTTCTCACAGACATGCAAAACATTTGCATTGTCACTTTGCTTTCTGGCTTTCAACATCTATTGATGACTTTTCCATCATAATGAGAACATTTAACCTCAAAAATGATAATCATCAGGCCCAGGACAGGGTCAGCTCCAGATCAAATGTTTTAAAAGTCTGCCACAAAATACTTCCAAATTACTTCTGATGAAAAATATTCTTTTCCAAGGAAAAAATATCTTTCATTCTTTTTTTTTTTAATGTAGGAATTAGAAAATGTTAAGTCCTCAAGTACTAGAAAGTTTTCTTTTTTCCTGAGCAAATGTTTAAGTGATAGGAGAGCAAACTATAAAAAGGAGGGGAAATTTCAGAGAAAGTAGGAGGAAAGGAAAACAAAGGAGAGAAAAGACTTTGCTATATGTCACTCGTATTCTCAAACTGCGGTGTTTGTAACCCTAAGGGTTCCAGCATCAGTCATGGGGACATGAAGCTCTGGGATAAACATCACCTGACAGCTCCCTGGAGCAGGAGCTTTACCCCAAGATTTAGGAAAAATATTGTTAAAAATAAAATCTTATGGGGCAGCCCCAGTGGCCTAGTGGTTAAGTTTGGCGTGCTCTGCTTCAGCAGCCTGGGTTAGGGTCCTGGGCGTGGACCTACACCACTTGTCAGTGGCTATGCTGTGGTGGCTCACATAGAAAACAGAGGAAGACTGGCTACAGATGTTACAGATGAGGGCAAATCTTCCTCAGCAAAAAAAAATATATATAAATATAGAAATATATACACATATTAAATATTACAAAATTTTAAGCATATTTATATAATATTTTATGTTTACATGTTCATATATTTTATATATGTTTATATATTTACATATATATTATGTATTTATATACATAATAAAATATATATTTTAATATGCATGTTTATATATAATATATACTATATATAACAAAGCATATTTATATAAACTAGATATATACATATATAAACATGTATAAAATATAACATGAAAAGTATTAACATTGAAAAATATGCTTAACATTAAAAATCAAGATGATAATCAAATAAAATGAGAGGCATGGTAAAAAGTTACAATTTGCTGTTCTCTAAAACATTAGAAAACTTATAATAAAGATGATCTCTTGGTCTTGGCTACATTTTGGGGCCTGTTTACAGAAAAGCCTGTCAACAGGCAAGCTCTATGGGGGGCCAGGAAGGAGCAGGTCTGGACAAGCCAGTTGGTTGTGACAGGAAGAACAGATCGTTAGGAGGAAGACGGTTGTAGTGAAAAGCAACAAGCAGGATGGGTTTGCGGCATGGCCAAGCATTCCTTCAGGGGCCCAGAAAACACTGAAGGATGGGAATCTCCCATGAAGCCAGTTCTGGGAACAAAGAGGATGTGGACTTTGGTTAATTGACCATTAAAGGGTATAGTGACCCTGAGGACTAGAGAATTAAGGGCGTTGAGGATACTTATTTGTTTGCAGAGCTGTCTTCACCGCAAGACTAAGCAATCTTCCAGAACAGGGATGTCACTGAATGCAGGAATTATATATCACTCACATCTATCTGCAGTGTTTAGCACAGGACCTGGCAGATAATAGGTACTCAATAAAAGTAGCCTAAATGAATGGAAGGGTGGATGACCATTAGCCGAGTGGGTGGGGGCATGGGTGGATAGTTGTGTGGATGAGTGGATGACCATTAGAAGCAAAGTGAATGTTTATTACGTCACCATCGTTATAATACATAGACCCACGTGTATAAAATCCCACTGAATCCCTGCAAGTTATTGTGTTGAAGTCTGAGCTCTAACTCTGACAGAGAATAATATAGTTAGTGACAAAATTAATTTCACTCAGCCTGAAATCCAGCAATACTGCTCCACCATGTAAGAATTCCACCTTTTCTGTGAAAACACACTCTCTACTTCTGCTAGCCTTGACATCATGAAATTTTGGTTATGGCAAGGAAAAGACACCCATTCTAGGGTTGACTGCTCCCAGGGATTCCTCTAAGTAGGAGTGGGGCTCCAAAGAGCCATGTGTGTACTTTAAAACCAGCCCCTGGCCCACTGTGTCAGGGGTAGTCACCTGACCTAGCCTTGGCCAATTACAGTCTCTCCCAGGAAACTGTAAATTTTGAATCGAGATCTGGGAGAGGGCAATGAGTCAATCAAGTCAATGGCTCTAGAGAGAAAGTCCACGAGTGAAACGTTGCTGCTGGGATCCCCAAGCTGCCCTGGTCTGCCCTGGCCGAAGCCTGGGTGCTCAGTTCCGTCTTACATTCAGCATCATCAGGATGCTGAGATGACCTCCCATCAGGGTGGAATTTTGGGGTGAAGAGGGCTGTCTTGGAACTGAGGAAAATTTGCTTACGGAAAATGACCACCCTGTTCTTCATCTTTGACATTACCAATCGTAATATCCCTATTCTAAAACAGGGAACTTGACCCCAAAGCAAAGAGACCCAGGTTTGAATCCTTAGCTCCCATCCTTCATATAGCATATAGCAAAGTCTTTTCTCTCCTTTGTTTTCCTTTCCTCCTACTTTCTCTGAAAGTAGCTCTCAAGTGAACAGCAGCTGTCAAGAAGATTCGCCTGACCCTGAATGTGGTGGGGACCGGCTCACCTGAGAGGAATCACATTTCCTCATCTCCTTCTCCTTCTTTGCCAGACGCTTCTTTTTCTTGTGAAGAGGTTTGGACTCCAAAATCATTTCTTCGAGTTCAAAGGTGGGGTCGCAATTCAGTCTGCCTTTCTGCAAGGAAGATAGGTTGTGCACTCCTTAGACTCCTACCTCGTTCTAAAAATACAGCAGACCGCATGTGGAGAATAACGGTCTTCACAGAGCAGTCCGAGGGCGCCAAGCTGGGATTCCCACTCTAAGTTTTAGATAATTTATTGCCACCGTTCTTTTTCATATTCTTTAATTTTATATTTTGTTTATTTTTCCGAACTCCCAATGAACCCACAGTGAGTTAGCAAGAAAATCAAATTACAATTATTTTTCTCAAGTTTGGGGTTTTGTTTCTCCAAGTACGTCCTAAGGATCATGTAGACCAAAATCACCTGAGTTCTCTGCTCAGCTTCCCAGTTCCCCAACCAGATTTCCCGAGTCAGTGTTTCTGAACACAAGGCCCAGGAAAGTGCATTTTTAACAAGCTCCCCAGATGTCCCTCAGCCAGGCAGTCAGCAGTGGGAATTACTGCCCTTTGGCTACTAGGCACTATAAATGTAGCTCCCTGGAAGAGAACTACCAGAGGAAGACGGGGGAATAGTAAAAATAATACCCTACCCCAACTCCAACAGTTTCCAATCCTTTGACTCACAGAACTCCATGGATGCAAATTTCCACATCTTTGGAATCAGAGAAAACATTGTTTTCTCAATTAGCAGATTCCTGGAAACGACTATTTGGAAGATTAGGGTTTCTTCCCAATTAAAGCAAAACATAAAAAGTGGTGAGGAGCTAGAACTCCAGACACAGATAGACCAGGATTAGAATCACAGCTCAGCCACTTGCTAAAGTGACCTTTGGAGGCCAACTTACCCTCTGTGCGTCTCAGTTTTTTCATCTGTAAAATGGGAATCTGGGCGATCTTGCCACACTGGTGTGGTTCTCTCATGAGACTACATGTGTATCTGGCACACACAGGAGCGTGCACTGAAGGCACATTATCATAGCTTTCTTGGGATTGACTCACATTAGGAACAAAACCTGGAACGAGCCTCTTCTGCAAAACCGCATCCCAGTTCATGTCATTCATACACGGGAAGTTCTGAAGGTCCGACAAGTGAGAAAACCGCTGGTCTGGATTAGGCTCAAGTAGCTGCCAATGGAATAGAACCACCAAGATTAGGAAGAAGGTCAAAATGGGGAAAAAATCATATGAATTCCCTCTAAATGTTTTCAAGTGTAGGACTGAAAGAAACAAGGCTGTGTTCCCCTTCCCTAATGCCACACACAAGTAAGATAGAGAATGCAGACATAAACAAATAATGTAGGTCACGCATGGCTAGAAAGAATTGTAAATTGGTTTTTGCAACATGGTGAGTGAAAATAGCTCGTCCTACTGAGTCAAACATATCTCTGATTCCTGATTACCCTACTTACTATGGCCAAGTTTGTTCTCCAAACCTTAGTTTACCTATGTGTAAAAAAGGGACAATAACCTATTTCATAAGGTTTAGCTAGGATTAAACGAGGCCATGTCTATGAAGTGTCTAAGAGAAAATCTGTCCTTATTAGGTGGTGAATGTGTACACATTTTACAAATGAAAGTCATTTCCACTAAAAACTTTAGCTGTTTTTATAACTAATCAATATATATTGAGGGTGACGTAGATAAGATGTAACTAAGTCTACTGTTATAGTTCTGGGTTTTCCAAAATGAGATTAAAGATTTTTTTCCCCCTTGACCACTCCAGAGCCAACATCACATCAATCCTGTGGCTCAAATGGGAAATGTCAGGTCCACTTAAGCATGCTCCTGGCAGTGACATGGATCATCAGGGTGGAATTTTGGGGTGAAGAGGGCTGTCTTGGAACTGAGGAAAATTTGCTTACGGAAAATGACCACCCTGTTCTTCATCTTTGACATTACCAATCGTAATATCCCTATTCTAAAACAGGGAACTTGACCCCAAAGCAAAGAGACCCAGGTTTGAATCCTTAGCTCCCAAAGCCCTTTTTCTTGACCAGACACAATCTGTGCAATTTCCTTTCTTCAAAAAAAGCCAAGCTCATCCTCCTGGGCACCTCATTCTTCGTTTCACATAATCGTTCTATGCACATGATGAGCTCCCGCTACAATTGCTCTTCATCTTTTTGGCGAACACAGCCACCTTGAAATTCTGATGAAAGCTCTGGACCTCGTCAATCCAAATACCAAATTTTACCACCTGTTAGGCTCTGTGTTAGATGCTGAGGACACCATGGTGAACAAGCCCAAATGGTCCCTTCTCATGCCGCTCAGAGGACAACGATCATTTACCCAAGAATCACACACGTGAAATGTATAATTTCAAACTGTGAGAAATTCTATGAAGGAAGATAGTGGTGAGCTTACAACAAGAGGGAGGCTCCCTGAGGAAGTGATATTTGAGCTGAGATCCAAAGCTGTGCTTCTCAAACTAGATACAAGGGCCAATTATTTCTGTTTGTTTGTTCATTTGTTTGTTATAATTTCCAACTCACTGAAACCAATATGTGGTGTTACTGTGCATGAGTAGTATGCAACTCCACACCATGTATAACTTATGATTTGCGTTCAACATCACCAAACAGGCTTGTCCCCTGTTCAATAGATGAGTCCACTGACCATGTGCTTAGAGGCATCAGAATTATCAAATTGCTATAAAAGTTCCTAAATGCTTCTCTCAATTTCTGTACTCGTCATGGACCCATAGGAAACAATTCATGGACTTGAACCAGTCAGTGAATCACATTGAGTTGCACTGATCTAAAGGAGGGAGCCGAAGAGCTGGGGAGGGGGGCAATGTTCTAGGTAGAGTGATTAGCATACACAAAGGCCCTGTGGTGAGAGCCTGATATGTGAGGGGGGAGGGAAGAGAAAAGAAAAAGAAGGCCAAACCAGTTTATGTGTAGTCAAAAGGGGAACAGAAGGCCAAAATAAGGTTTGAGAGGTACTTAGAATCTTTAAACCATGCAAATTATTTTTATCTCAATTCCAAGAACAATGGGAAGACAATGAGCTTTGCTTTAAACAGATTACTATGGGACAGAATGGAGAACAGAATGGAGTGTGTAAAAGTGGCCAGCCCAGTGGTGTAGTGTTTTTTTTTTTTTTCTGCTTTATCTTCCCAAACCCCCCGTACATAGTTGTATATCTTAGTTGCAGGTCCTTCTAGTTGTGGGACGTGGGACGCCGCCTCAACGTGGCCTGACAGTGGTGCCATGTCCCCGCCCAGGATTGGAACCCTGGGCCGCTGCAGCGGAGCGCGCGAACTTAATCACTTGGCCACGGAGCTGGCCCCTAGGGTAGTGGTTAAGTCTGCGTGCTCCACTTCGGCAGCCCAGGGCTCACAGGTTCGGATCCTGGGCATGGACCTAGCACTGCTAGTCAAGCGATGCTGTGGCAGCGTCTCACATACAACAGAGGAGGATTGGTACAGATGTTAGCTCAGTGATAATCTTCCTCAAGCAAAAAGAGGAAGATTGGCAACAGATCTTAGCTCAGGACCAATTTTCCTCACACATGCAAAAAGTATGCAAGGGCAAACGAGTTATAAGGTAAAACTTGATGGCAATAGGATTGGGAAGAACGGCAGTGGAGATGCAGAGAAGTGACAGATTCAAAAGATATTTAAAAGGTCAAGTTACAGAAATTGGTGATGGATTCGTATGGGGATGATGAATGACTTCCGGTTTCTGGCTTGCATAAGTGGATAGATGGAGAGGCCAGTCACTGAGAAAGGGAACACTGGAGAAAGTCCAGGAAATACAGAGACATCAAGAACTCCATTTTGGGCAAGCTGAGTTTGAGATGGCTTTGGGACATACAAGAGGACATGTGAGTTTTCTTAATGAAGCCAAGTATTTGAAAGCCGTTAGCTGCAAAACCCACTCTGGAAATATCTATTATTGTGACTTCCTCCAATACCGTATACTAACTTCGAACCTCAAACCAGAGAGCATGCTTCTTTTTCATCCCTTCCTTTTGTCAGGCAGACCTCCTTACCTTTTTCAGAAGTGACACCATTTCCTGTGACCAGGCAGAAGGGTAAGTCACAATAGCCGTCTCAAACATGTGTGCAATTTCCTTGCTGGAAGTACTGGAGCGAATATGATACGGTCTCTTAAAGGAGAGAAGAAGTTAGAGTCTTCTTTTTTATAGGGTAAAAGAAAAAACTTTTGCTTTGCAAATGTTTCCAAACTAGATTTTCAATCAGTAAAATCTCCATATCATTGTCCAATCCCTTCCAGCTGATTGTTGTGTTGCCCTATGGGCCAGTGTTGCCAGATCTCCTACTTTTTAAAAAAAGATACTAGAAATCTACAGTTTCTGTAAATGTCAGAATTTGTGAAAGCCAGTAATTCTGCTGGACCAAAGAAAACACTTCTGTGGGCTAAAAACATCTGTGAGATGCTGATTTAGAACTGTTTTGTGAGAAAGCCTATATAAGTTTTAACACAAAATATTGGACAAGTGCTGAGTAAATGGAAGTTTTTAAAAATTGTTATTTAAATGTTGATTATAAAGAGAACCAGAGTTTTACCATACACCTCTTTCCACTTGTCTGAATCATCATAAGTTCAGGACAGAAAGTTACCCAGAAAACTTCAACTCCAGTTCCAAATGCTAGAAGTTCCTGGTCCTATGGAGTGGGGTGGCAAATTTTATGATGAAGCAAAAGATTTTTCACTTCTGAGAGAAGCAGCTTCTATAGTTTTAACTTTGGGGAAAAGAAATGAAAGAAAACGGTGGCTTCGTTACAGTTTTCACAGCTTTCCACTAGAGGGCAGCCGTGACCTATATTAAGTTCTCGATTTCATAAAGGAATCATTAAGAATGGGATTTTCTCTCTTTTATGTAAACCATGAGCTCCTTAAAGCCAGAGACTATATCATACTCACAGTTTTGCCCGATATCATACTCACAGAGACCAAGCACCTAGTAGGTACTCATTACATGTTTGTTGAAGGAGCAAAATTTCCATATTATGTTAACCAACAATATGACAGTTAATATGGATACGTACTTTACCAAGTGCCTAGCACTTTCAAGATACTTAATAAACGACTGTGGACTGATGAAGTAAACTGGGAGAAATGGAGGAGTTTAATTTTTTCCCTGTCGTAAATCATTATTAAAGGTAATATAATGTAATTAGATGTTTGAGCTCTGAAGGCAAAAGGATTTGAGCGTTAAACTGAGTCACTCAGTTTCTAACTTTCAATTCCTTCTTCTGTTAAGATGAAGCTACTTCATGGGAAAACTGGACAGCTACATGCAAAAGAATGATAGCAGACAATTATCTTGCACCATTCACAAAAATTAACTCTAAATGGATTAAAGATTTGAATGTAAGAACTGAAACCATAAAAATCCTAGAGGAAAATATAGGCAGTACACTCTTTGACATTGGTCTTAGCCACATCTTTTTGAATACCATGTCTACCCAGGTAAGGGAAACAAAAGAAAAAGTTAACAAATGGGACTACATCAGACTAAAAAGCTTCTGCAAAGCAAAGGAAACCATCAACAAAATGGAAAGACAACCCAATAACTGGGAGAAAAGGGGTTGATCTCCAAAGTATATAAAGAACTCACACAACTCACGAAAAAAAACCATCAAACAACCCAATCAAAAAACAGGCAGAGGATATGAATGACATTTTTCCAAGGAAGATATACAGATGGCCAACGGACACACGAAAAGATGCTCAACATCACTAATCATTAGAGAAATGCAAATCAAAACTACAATAAGCTATCACCTTACACCAGTCAGAATGGCTATAATTACCAAGACGAAAAACAACAAATGTTGGGGAGAATGTGGAGAAAAGGGAAGCCTCTTACACTGCTGGCGGGAATGCAAACTAGTGCAGCCACTATGGAAAACAGTATGGAGATTCCTCCAAAAACTAAAAACAGAAATACCGTATGACCTAGCTATCCCACTACTGGGTATCTACCCAAACAACTTGAAATCAACAATCCAAAGTAACATATGTACCCCTATGTTCACTGCAGCACTATTCACAACAGCCAAGACATGGAAACAATCCAAGTGCTCACCGACTGATAATTGGATAAAGAAGATGTAGTATATATATATATATATATATATATATATATATATATATATATAAATACACAATGGAATACTACTCAGCCAGAAATAAAGCAAAACCATCCCATTTGCAACAGTGTGGATGGACCTGGAGGGTATTATGCTAAGCAAAATAAGCCAGACTGAGAAAGGCAAACACCATACAATTTCACTCATATGTGGAAGATAAACAAACACATGGACAAAGACTATATAGTTCAGTGGTTACCAGGGGAAGGGGGTGGGGGGTGGGCACAGGGGGTGAAGGGGAGCACTTGTGCGGTGACAGACAAGAAATAATATACAACTGAAATTTCACAATGATGTAAACTATTATGAATTTCAATTAAAAAAAAGATGAAGCTGCTTCATCTGTAAAATGAACCACTTCATGAGATTTTTGGGAACATTAAATGACATAAGACACGTAAAGTTTTCAACTGAGTGGCTAACATATACCAGACACAATACAGGAGAGCTGTTTTTATTATTATTGACTCAAGGGTAAAAGGGCAGACATCAATGTGAACAGCAAACATCAAGATGAGTCATCAGTAAAGGTGATGTGAGGAAAGGCTTAACTCTACACATGGCATATCAACATCAGATATTCAGGGAGCCATGAAGTGCTGGGAGTTGACCCCTAAAAAGGAGAGAGTCTGAACTTCATGTTCTTATGAGGTCTAAAAACACTTGCCACATATCTTCTCCCCTCAAGACTGAATAAAGGACCATAGCAAATTCATCTGTCTCAGTAACAATATAGTAGAAATGCCCCGTGTAACTCAACATCAGAAAGGGAGTGCTGGCCACTTTATCAGCGTTTACTGACCCTTCACCAGCCGAAGGGCGCTACATGTGAGCCCTTCCACGTATCTCATTCTGAGCTGGGCAGCTTTGGCATACTCAGGCTTCTAGGGTTATAGTCACGTACACATATATTTTTTCTTTTTTTCTAATTTTCTTCTTTGATTCATTGCTGCTTCTAAACCTACTGTTTCTTAGTCATCTAAAGACACAAAATGATTTGATAAATGAATAAATTAATTGATGAATGCCACAAGCAACTGGTTTAAGAGTGTTTTTTTCATTTACTTTAGAAGGTCATATGGCTGCATTTAACATTTTTTTTTAAATCCTCATGGCCTGTCAACTTATTAAAAACAAACTGCCTTTATCTTACACAATGACTTATTTTTCTAGCTCTAAATTTTAAAAATCCATATTAATTCATCAACTACTAGAATTATATATTTCCTCACTTACCAAATATTTACTGAATGACTACTATGTTTCAGCACCTCTGTTGAGCATTGAGGATACAATGAAGTTCAACACAGACATGATTTCTACATTGGTGGAGCCTATCATTTACTTAGGGAAACCACAAATAGTTATGTAGATTGTACATACACACACACACACACACACACACACACAGACATGAATGGAATGCATGCTATAAGGAAAAATTACAGTGTGCAATTACAGGATATATCAAACCACTTTATGGCAGCATACAAATTGAGTGAGAATATAAAGAATGAACACAGTAGAAAAGGTAAAATATTAGATGGGAGAAAATCTTGTGATTATGGTCATATTTCAGGAGTAAAAAAGCAAAAGAGTTGCAGCTAAGAATGTGCAATTAGTGCAAAACTATGTATGTACCTATCATAAACTAATATTTATGGATAATACAAAAGTAGAAAAGATATAGACCTTGCCTTCACAATGGCAATGACAGCTGGGAGACAGACAGATGACAGAGCAGGTTAATGACTAAAGGACCCACGCATCACCACCGAGATCAAGCTCAGAACCATGGGGATGTTTTCCAGCACATTTCTCTTTGAGGCATACATTTTCCTATAAATAAAATTTCTAAGCTTAGGAGGAAATTATTGTTTAGCACCCTTCCTCTGTGGTTTAGTTGACAGTTGTAATTAAATGTTGGTATTTCATTTCTTCTGATTAGCTATATTTTGAAACATAATTACACACAGCCTAGTTGGTGATTGTTTCCTAGAATGTGTCCAAATTGATCTGTAGTGACTTGCTCCTCCATTCATTCCATATGAATTTGTTATGTACCTATTTAAAGCTAAATACTGTGGATAATATAAAATTACATAAGATACATGCTTTGCCTTCAATGAATTTATAATCTAATAATATAGAAGAGATAAAAACATAAAAATTAATATACCTGGAAAAATTTACAAAGGCATTACATTTATAAAATGGATTTAACCCAAAAAATAAAATAGATTTAATCGTTCTGATGTAGAAAGGTCTACATTTTATCTTAAGTGAAAAAAAGTCTCAACAGAAAGGTAAAGCATAATTCTATTTTTGCTAAAATGACAACACTAATGTACATATATGTGTCTGTGAAAATAGATTATCCTTATAAGAACAGAGAAAGTTTGGAAGTGAATACAGCAAGCTGTTAATTCTGGAAGGTGGCACTGGAAGGCCAAAGGAGTGTTTAATATTTTAATTGGGAATTTCTTTTGCCTTAGAGGATGTGGCTGATTTTTACTCTCATTTTTGTGCTTTTCTATATTTTCCAACAATTTTAAATTCATAAGGGTCATCAGAGAGATAAAATACATAAATATTTGGAAGAGAGAGATACAGATCACTTCAGGTACAGAGATCAGAGAAAGTTTCTTCAGAGAAGGTGCCACATTGTCGTGGGCTGTAAAGAATGGGTAGGATTTGAATATCAAAAGATCTGGAGAAAGGCCTTCCCCACAAAGGAAATTTGGGATAGTCTAATACTATGTCCTTTCTTGGAAATGATTAATCTACATTAGATATAAAGATTTTGAAAAGTCTTACAATTAAGACCCATCATTCACTCAATTTAACAATTCCCAAACATATTTGAAGAATGATTTTTAAGAAGACCAAGGTTTCCCTTGGGAAATATCTCTACAGGCAAAGGAACAAGAGGTAATAAAGCCCAAGGGATGCCTTGAGAGAGGAGAAGTCCAAAAGGCCCAAGTGAGTTCATTAGAGTCAGGGTCAATCAACTGAAGCAGGATCTGAAAAGTTAAGCTGCTTCTAAAAGGTAACGAATGCCAAGCTAAGGCATCTGAGACTCGGTGCGTGTGTGTGTGTGTGATATGAGGCACTGGGAGCAACAGCATTTTTTTTGACATGAAAGGTCAGATCCGTGCTTTAGAAAGATGAATCTGCATTCCCATGTTCATTGTAGCATTATTCACAACAGCCAAGAGATGGAAACAGCCTAAGTGTCTGACAACAGATGAATGGATAAAGAAGATGTGGTACATAAAGAGAACAGAATAATGGAATATTATTCAGCCATAAGAAAGAAAGAAATCTTGTCATTTGTGACAACATGGATGGACCTTGAGACTGTTATGCTAAGTGAAATAAGCCAGACACAGAAAGACAAATACTGCATAGTACCATTTATATGTGGAATCCAAAAAAAAATGGCAAACACAGAAACAGAATAGAAAAGTGGTTGCCAGGGCCGAGGAGTGGGGGAAATAGGGAGAGGTTGGTAAAAGGGTATAAACTTTCATCTGTAAGATGAGTAAAGTCTGAGGGCTTAATGTATAACATGGTGACTGTAGTTGACAACACTGTATTGTATAATCAAAATTTGCTAAGAGAGTAGGACTTAAATGTTCATAAACATATACACACATATATATACATAAAATTCAGCAACCTAACAGTAATTCTTCTTCACCTTTTCAAAGCAAAAAAAAAAAAAAAGAAAAATGAATCTGACAATGTTGATACATCAGATCACAAGGAACTACCATAATAATAAATAATATGGATATAAAATAATGTGAGTGGGAGAAAAAATATTTTCTTAGCAAAATTCTTCCTAGGCATTTTCTTAGTTTAAGAAATGTTTCTTTAAAAGGAAACTACTCTGATTTGCCCCTGAACCCAGAACCCAGGAGCCAAATGACAGACAGGAATCCAACGAGACAGGGCATGAATTGTGTTGTATTAATAATTCACACTCGCCTTGGGGAAGTGTGCCTGAATTAGAGTCCTGTACTGTGACTCCAAAATGATTTTCTTTAAACAAATATATTTATACAAGACATTGAGCGAGGCATATTGATTTTCCCTCTCTGGGAGTTTATAATATCCATATTATTCATTTAATTTTATCTGCCTAATTTAATGTTAACTCACAGGCTGGGTCCCATATGCAGGAGAGTGAATTACCGTGTGCAGAAATCTCAAGGGTTGTGATCAGCAGCACATGGCAGAGTTGCTTTCACCTCTCAAACAAACTGCTTGATTTTTAGCAAAAAATCCATCCTTTCCTTCTAAAAATGGAACTTGCTGGAAGAATAACCAAAGAGAAATGCAATTCTACTGTACCCGGCCTCTCAACAGCTCATATGCCGTCACTCCCAGGGACCACCAGTCAACGGCAAAGGAATAGCCTGCTTCTCTTCTGGAGTTGAACATCTCTGGTGCTGAAAAACACAGAAAAGTCAGGTCAGTTTTACTCTCTGAGACATTAACAAATCTGTTTTCCCAACATGTTCCTCCAAAGGCAAATTACCAGGGTAAAGGGTTTAAACACTTTTATGGGTGTTTATCATCCATTACTAGATTGCTCACAGCAGGCAAAATGTCTAATTTTCTAATCTCTCTCAGTAGCATCATTCATCAACAACACACACAGGCATGCACATGCCTTAATGGACAAATTCTTCTCTTATTGAGACCATGCACCTATTGGATCCCATGAGTCCTCAGATGTGTGGCTGACCTTGAAATCAAGAACTCTGACAAGATGCTATTTGTTGTCTTGATTTGGAAGGTTTGGCTAAAGGACCTGAATCTGTATTACTGTTGCAAACAATGCTCAGAATTCAGTGCAACGTACATTGGATTGCTCTCCATCTCAGTCATCTGGAAGAGGCAAGAGCAACATTTGCGGCCTGCTATTGGGGGAGAGGGAGGGGGAAGGAGGGAGTTGGCCCTCTGTGACAGAGGTTTTACATCAACTGTGGGGCACTGACACTTTGTAACAGAGTTCTTTGAATTGACTCCAACAGAAGGTAAAGCTACAGTCATTTTTACCCCCAGTGGAGACCCCCCAGTTGTGCATTCTCTAAGTACTTTGACACACCATGGCTGAACCTCCTACATACTCTTCCAAGAATATACCTAACCCCTGAGGGGTGGAATGAGGAAAAAGAAGCACAAAGCAAGGGCAGGTGTCTTATCTGCCTGCTTACCACTCATTCTTAAGAGTCCAGCATGGAACCTGGCACTTAGAGTCACTGAGCAGAAATTTGTTGAATGAATGAACAATACTGAATCAATTAATCAAGTAATGGTTAGAGTCATGCTGTCTGGGTTCAAAACCTGCCTTCACCACTTATTGTGATCTTGAAGAAGTCAGGTGGCTGCATCTGAGAGTCCTCATCAGCAAAATCAGAATAAGAAGAAGGCAATCTTATAAAGGTGAGAAATTAAGTGAGATAATGCATGCCAAAATCTCGGCACAGTGCCTGGCACCTGGAAAGTGCTCAAAAAATTAGCAACTCTTCTAGAGAGGCAAACATCCATCATAATGGGAACTTTACCTAGTCAAAAGCTACACACTCTCAACCCAAGACTCTGGTAGTAAGGTGCTGGCTCTGGACAAAGGAATTGGCGTGATGTGGGGCCTAGGCAGACAGGCTTGCCCTGCCCAGTGCACTCAAGGTCTAAGTAAAATCCTGTGGACAACATCCAATTAGAGAGGTGGAATGTTGACATCCCAATGCCCAGGATTGACCCCGACTGTAAGAGCCAACTGTAAGTAGGCCTCGTTCCCTAGTGAATTCACCTTTCATGCATCACTGCACTCCTCCTGCAAGTCACAGCTCCCATGCAATTTGGGAGATAATGGCTCTGACCCCATGGTACCCTACAGACTGAATGGAATGGACTAGAGTTCTGCTTTCCCTTATCAGTATCTCACAGCAAGTCATCTCAGATAGTCCCCCAGGTGACAGGTGACAGACATCTCACAGAAGCTGCAGAGAACTTTAGGAATAAACAGACCATTGTGCTAAGAAAATACCTAACAGAATAAACATTATAACAGCTGTGTATTCTGTCATTTTGGACCATCCTCAGAATTTACGAGTATACTTTCTTCTCCTCTGCTACTCATGCTATTTTCTGGCATGAAGACATTTAAATATGCATTCATTCATTCAACAAATATTCACCGTGTGGTAGGCACTGAGGAATTCTGGTAGAAAACTAAGAAAAAATATCATGGCAACATACAGGAGCATACCAGACGGTAATTCTTTGAGCCCTCAAAGAGCCGAAAACCCAGTGTGAGGGGATACTGAGGGTTTTGATTAACCCTTCAAGAGGATCCCCCTTCTAGGAGGGATGAGGGACTAACTTTCCTTCAAAAGAACCATTATTTTGTTTATTTTTTGGTGAGGAAGATTGGCCCTGAGCTAACATTTGTTGCCAATCTTCCCCCACTTTTTTTTAAAGATTGGCACCTGAGCCAACAACGGTTGCCAATCTTTGTTTTTTCTTCTTCTTCTTCTTCTTTCTCCCCAAAGCCCCCAGTACACAGTTGTGTATTCTAGTTTTGAGTGCCTCTGGTTGCGCCAATCTTCCCCTTTTTGCTTGAAGAAGATTATCCCTGAGCTAACATCTGTGCCAGTCTTCCTTTATTTTGTATGTGGGATGCTGCCACAGAGTGGCTTGATGAGTGATGCGTAGGTCTGCACCCAGGGTCTGAACCCACAAACCCCAGGCCACCAAAGCAGAGTGCAAGAACTTAACCACTACACCACCAGGCCAACTCCTTTTGTTTGTTTTCTAAAGTATTTCTATACCTACATTTAGAAAAGTAAATAAAACAGAGAAGATTTTAACAAGTAGTTATAAACAAATGGCCACGTAACCATAACACAGGTCATGAGGTAGAATCTTGACCCCATAATCGTGTCCTGTCCTGTTCACAACCATAGAAGTAACCATCACCTTGAATTTGTGTTAGTAATTGTCTTGCCTTTCTATATAGATTTACTATCTATGTACACATGTCTAAGCAATACTCTAGTTTTGCCTATTTTAGTAATATATGTTTATATATATATGTGTGTGTGTGTCTATAGCATATATACATATATGTATGTGTGTATATATATAATATACATGTATGTGTATGTGTGTATATATATAAAACATATATGTTAAATCCTACACCATGGTTTCTTTACTGTCTTGCTTCTCTTTGCTCAACATTATGTGTATAAAATTTACCTAACTTGCACATAGTTTATTCACATTCAATGCTATATGAATATACTATAATTTACCCATCTATCCTATTGTTGGCAGTCATTTGGCTTCTTTTCAGTTTGGGAGTATTGTGAACAATGCTGTCATGAACATTCCTGCAGATGTAAGACCCTGATAAGTCCACACATCTTCAGGGTACATTCCTGGGAGGGCAACTTCCGGGGGTGGGCTGCATATCTTCTTGCATACTAGATAATGCCAAACTATTTACCAAAGGGGTTGTACCAATTAACACTATGACCAGCAACATATGAGACTTCCCTTTCTCAACCTCCTTATCCACACTTGATATTAACTGATCTTTTGCTGTGTGGCAATCTAGTGAGTATGTAACGGTCTTTCATTGCGGTTTAAATTGGCATTGCCCTGATTACTAATAAGCTTGACCACATTTTAATATGTTTACTAGCTATTTAGATTTCCATCTTTTGGTTTTCAGATTTTAAAACAACTGGACAGTAGATTCTGGTCAGGATGTAAAGAAAGGGCCTCAAAACTAATATAATAAATTTAATAAAACAAATTTAGTAATAATTTAATTCCAGAAAGAATTTCTGGAATTTACAAAATGATCCTAAATTTCATCTACAAAAAAAGTGTGAATAATGAAAGTTTTCTGAAAAAGGATAGACTTGCAACCAATGTATTAAATTACATTATAAAGCTACAATAATTAAAATTGAAAGCCACAGAATATATATGCCAGTACATAAAGATACATAGTTAATGACGAACAAATTTCAAATCAGCATGGAAAGGATCTTATTTAATATATGGTCTCGAAACAATTATTTAATAATCTAACAAAAATAAAGTCAGATCCTTACCATGTATCTTCAGTCAGGATAATATATAGCTGGATTAAAAAAAAATTAAACTATAACAATAATAAAAATATTAGGTAACCACATCTAAAATCTGGAGGTAAGAAGTTCTCGCTAAGAATAGCATCAAAGGTAGAAACTATAAAGTATAAAAACTAATGGTTTGGATGAGTCAGAAAAATAGTCCTTTACGTCAAAAATGCCATAAGAACAACAGCAACTAAAAAGGAAATCATATTTATAACACGATACACTAAAATTTAATATTGCTAATTTCTAAAGGGCAAGAATCCTTTATATAACCAATAAGAAATATCAGAATAGGAAGAAAGTATTAACACCCTAATAGAAAACGGGCAAAGAACGCGAAGAGGCAATTTACAAAAGAAATACAATTTTAATATCATAATGAGGTACCGTTTTCACTTATCTTTTTGGGAAGATTCAGATATTGATACTGCATGCAGCCCTGTGAGGATGCAAAGAGATGAATATCTTCTGACACTTCCGGTGCAAATGAGTAGAAATCAACAGTGAACTTTCAGGAAGGAAATGCAGTAACATGGATACCCTTTGATCAGGAATTATTTGGGAACGTATCACAAGGAAACAATTAAGTTGCAGGACATATTTCTGCTACCAGGATTTTCCTCACAAATTTATATTTCAAAATGAGCAACAACCTAATGTTCAACAACAAAGAATTGGTTAAATAAATTTTGATGCAGCCCTCTCATTCTGTAGCATGGAACCATTACAAACGATAGTGACATATATGGGCGTGGAAAAATAGGCAGAGCGTTAGTTGTCAAGACTCAAGCTCTGGAGTCCAAGAGAAGCGGGTTTCAATTCTGGCTGAGGCCTGTTTATTGACTAGAGGCAGAAAGGCAGCAGAGCAGAGTTAGGAGTTGGCGCTCTGACATCAGACCCTGAGGGCTGCATCCATAGCTCAACCTTGGGCTAAGCTCTTACCCTCTTATGTCTTTAAAGTGCGAATAACAATAGTGCCTGCATCACAGAATTGTTTTTTGATGTAATACTTATGTATTATGTAATGTAATGGTGACGTACTACGTAAGGTTTAAACGTCCTAATACACACCCTTAAAACAGCGCTGGGCATGTAGGAAGAGCTCTGCAAATGTCAGCCATTATACCTTCATCATCATCACCATCACCATCAACGCACCAGGCTGCAGACGTTTTTAGACTTGGGTTTAACTTCAGGCTCTAGAAGTCACGTGCTGTGTGCTTATGATCACATCACTCTCTCTCTAGGCCTGATTTGCTTTTAAGTTTATGAAATCAGAACAGTAAAACCTATTTCAAAGGGTTGCTCTGAGAATTTCACATTATAATAAATACTAAAAACTTAGCAAAGTGCCTGAGACATAATAAATGCTGACTACAACACGCCTATTATTGTTCGCATTATTATATTAGCAAGTGAGAATTTAACTGACAAAATTTGGTACGATCCACCTTTTAAAAAAATGTTCATGTGTTTGTGTGCGCATAGAAAAAAAGGTCTGGAAGGAAACCATAGATATCTGCAAGTAGAGGGATTAATTTAATTTTTCCTTTGCTTATCTGCATGTTACACATTTTCCATGGTGAATTTGTTTTGTTTTTAATTTGGAGGAGAAGAACGTTTTAATTGGTTAAGCTCTAAGTGATCTGGATTATGTCCACACAGACACAGGAGCAGAGAGAAGGAAGGACTGGAGTGAAGGGAGGGCGCATGGAGGTAGGAGATTATGAATGGGAGGTGATTATGAACTGGCAGACTGCTCATCCTCCCACTTCCAGAGCCAACGAGCTGCTGAATAATATGCTCAGCATCTCATATTAGTAGATGTTGTATACTCCAAATTATTGAGAACATAATTTTTAAAAAGAGAAAGCAGACTTCATCCATGACACCTCTCCCAAAAATCAAAGCCAAGGGCAACTTCTGGATAAAGAGACAGCGATGACAGTCAGATATTCATTTTTTAATAAAACAAACATTTCTAAGAGTATGGCCTACTTAAATTGGCTTACACACATTTAAAAACCACAATAATTTTTTTTTTTAATTTCTCTCTTTTGCAGGGAGAAGCTTGATTTTCTGAAGTCAGACACAGCTTGGTTTAAATATAGGCTTTTTCAATTATTAGCCATGTGATCTTGGGTAAATCACTTAGCTTCTTATTTTCTTTATTGTAAAACTGTGATAATTACAGTCTGCCTCATAGAGTTGTTGAGAAAACATAAATGAGTAAATGAATGTAAAACATTTAACACATTGTCTGGTCCATTGAAGACTTTCAATAAATATTAGAAATTGTTAATTATAAGGCTGAAGGTGGAGAGGCACAGAGAACCCTGACGAGATTCCAATTTCCTAGCTCTATGTTGTGAAAAGACTAGAAACGCCAATTTTGAGGAGAATTAAATTATACGGATATTGTACTTAAAATCACTGGGGAGAGACAAGAAAGGTGGCCTCCATTTACTCCTCTCACCATGGAAACCAGGCCTAGAAAACCCAGATGCACATTTCTGATTTGGCTCCAAGAAAATAGCCCATAATATGGAAACCCAGGAAACCTGCGGAATAAACTCGTCAGACCAGCAGGCTTGAATATTCCTTTTTATCATTTGAGTATCGTGGGTTTTAGGCAGAAAATTGGCTGAATTTTATGTGCCCATTATTTTAGAGGTGACAAAAGAGATTTTTTTCCCCCCACTGGTAATTGGAAGCCAGGAAATTTGCAGTTGTTCAAATATCATATAAAATAAGGCTCATTTTTACCCATAGAAGATTTCTTTCTCTTGGAAAGTAAGTAACCCTGCAAGTAGGGTTGTTTGGTTTTGTTTTTTGATTTTTTTCCTTCCCTCTGTTTAGTTACAGGAGGAAGAGAATGAAATATTAAAAGAAAGTGGCATTGCTCTTGCTCTTGATTTCAAGTTCAAATACTTTGCCTGGGAATTACTCTGACCATATTTAGCCAGCACAATTCATTCCACTCCTGATTTAATTTCACCAGTTTCACCAGCAACATCACCTGCTTTAAGCATTTCAGCTACTTGGGGTAGAAGCATGAACAGTTTTTATTCTTCTGTGATCTACTAACAACTATGCAGTGTCTAGCCTCCCATTCTTGCTGGGTAGGGGGCACCCTTAATGATAGCTCAGTCTGTTACCTAATAAATTTTAATCCCTTTTACTTATTAGAACATTTACTTTAGATAATTTAATATTCAGCCCTGTGAATTTTAAAACGAATCTCATATATGATTCAAAGCTCCGCCATCCCACCCAGTTGGAGTCAGCCACCTTGGTGTGGAGATGGACAACCAAGCTGCCCTCACCTTTTTCCTAGAGAGTAACATTTGTTTTAGAACACCAAAGAGGCAGAGGGATCCTAACAAAAACGCCCTGCCCCTGCTCCAGGGTAATCTCTCCTTAGTTGCTTCTGAGAGCTGACATAGCTCATGGTCTGTGGCAGAGCTTCTCAACCCTGGCTGCATGGTATAATTACCTAAAGAGCTTCTAAACCGTCCTATGCTTGGGTGCCACCCCCAGAGATTCTGATATAGTTGGGCTCTACTGGGACCGGTGTTGCCTTCAGTATGCCATGATGCTGACAGGAGCCTCCATCCCTTCCAGGCTGCACCATCTGGGCACTGGAGGGGCCCTTGTGAAGCTGGACCACATCCTCTGGCTAATCCATGCACCCCCAACCCCCAACACATACATACTCACACACTGCTGCAACTCTCCATCTCTTACTGCTGTGGTCCCCAGCAAAACTTGACTCCAAACTCATCAACCTGCCATGGCCAACTCACACTCTGTTGGTTCAGGGACCAGTCAGCAAGGACAGTGACTAACAGACATCAACCAAGAATGGGATGCCAGGTGCCTCTTCTCACAGTTACTCACAGAACACAGCTAATTCTCTTGAGATCTGACTCACTCGCCTGAGGAACAGCAGGGAGAGGGGAGGAAGAAGGCCCTCCTCCTGTATACCATATTACCCCCAAAGGGCAGCAGGCCCTTTATATTTCTGGCGTGGATGGGAGGTAGGGCTAGCTCTGATGGAACGGTGTCTACACAGAGATGGTGCCTCCAACAACAGAAATTAGAATTGGTATTAATTTGTGACTGTTAACACAATTAAATGTGACACCTAGTTGACAATTTTGACACCTAACCCTACCCTTTTAGTCATCCTCTGGGTAAATTTTTAATCTTCAGGCAAAACCCTCATCTTTACAAAGGAGAATTCATGGGATTGTTCTGGATAAAATGAAAACTAAAATGATAGCTGGAAGGCATTCTGTGAACTTTACAGCCTTATGCATGTAATGGAGTATTATGTAAATTATAGTTATAATAATACTTATGTCATTGATTACCATCCTACAGATTACTGCATCTTATTTCTTTGTATGATTGTATTTTTTTAAGCTCCTCTCTCTAGAAGCTAAGTTCCATGGCCTGGAGACCTTGTCAGTTTTGCTCACTACAGGGTCACCAGCAGCTGGCACAGTGCCAAGCACACAGAGGCAATTAGTAGACATTTGTTGAACTAATTTAAATTTTTTGTTAGGAAGTGGGTAGAAGCTGTCCCAAATAACTCATAAAATCCTGTTTTCCAAATATAATCAAGAGCCCTCCTGAATCAAGATCAGATTGAGTGCTTGCTAAATTGAGAACCTTGAGGCTCATCTCAGACCCATGAAATCAGAAGCTCCCCAGGTAAAGTCGGAGGGGGACCTGGCATTTCTAGTTGCAAGTCTCTACTGTTGATTTGACCCGAAATAAACGGTGTCCACAGGAATGAAAAACAAGTCTCGCTCATAGTCACTACAGCCATTCACGAAGCCCGTACCCATGTAAGGCTTGGTGCCAGCCACGGTGGTGATCCGCATCTCCCTGGACACCATCGCGGCAATGTTGAAGTCTGTGATGTGCACGTGCCCTGGCAAGAGAGAAGGACCACAGAGAAGGTTAAGTCCCATTCAACCCAGTGGCACAACCACGCTTCTAACTAAAAGCATCCGGAAGCTTAGTCTGTAAAGTCTTGTATGCCAGTTGCAATCGGGTACAGGCAGTAAAAGCTCAGTTCGGTAGTCTGTCAAGACCAACACGGTCTTCAACCAGCAGCCCTCCAGCAGGCAGAACACGACATGCAAGGGGGAATGTCTGATTGTAAATCTGCAGTTCAACCTCAGAAAGTTTTCACCTTGACGGTTAAGAGCTCACACTCCAGTAATTCTTAGGCAATTTTTGTTGGCAACATTTTCAGTTGGTATAACCTGTGAGTATCAACAGGGAGGCAGCCAAGAGTTATTCAAGGTAGCAAATTTCCGAGCTGTCTCTTAGGGGATCTTTCTTTCTTTCTTTTTTTTTTTTTTAAGAGACAAACATTATTACTACAAAGCTGACATGAATAGGGATATATACATTTATTTCTTTGCCAAGAAAGAGTCTTTTTTTCTGTTTTTCTGAAATATCATTAGTATTTTTCGTCTGATAGTTCAGGTTGTCCTCTATCGACCTCCAATAAAATAACTTATCAAGGAAAGGCAAGAGAAAAAAGTCAAGTTTTATTTATAAAGAGGCTGTATAAAGAGTTCTAGAGTGGCAGCCACGAGGCCTGAGACCTGCCCGGAACTCTGCTCCTAATACATCACAGACTTTAAGTCCTTTCCTGTGTTGAGCCTTAGTTTCCCTTTATTAAAAAAAAAAAAAAAAAAGGAAGGGGTTGGCTAGATGATCTCCAGCGTCTCTCTCAGCTCTATCGCTCACGGCGACAAAGTGCGGGTCTAACATTAAGTTTGGTAGTGAGCACCCCCTACAAAGAGCGTTAGGACCCTTGCATTTACAGCAAGGGGGGAAAGAGTGGTACTAGAAGCTCGGGCATACAAATCCGCTATGCTTGCTCTTGGCGTGAAAGTCATATGCTTTCAGAGGATCTCGAAGTGTTGGCATTTCCATTTACACGCTTCTGGGGTTTTGATGAGATATGGCTGTAACCGGAGGGGATGTCATCTGATTCTTCCTCCACATCCCACCATCCACACTCTCCCCAGCCAAATGTCACTATCTGCTCCCTGACAGCAACCAGCTTGCTGCTAAAGATAAATCTCACAGCCTCATCACCAGGGTTTTGTTTGGGGCAGAAAGTGTTTTGCGTTTGTTTATGGGATGACATTTTAATAAAGTAAAAGCAGCACTCTTCTAGCTAAAAGTGAAGGTACTCTGGCCTGAATGGTACCAACGGATGATTCAATAACTTACGCTATCACAGGATATAGGTTGTCTCAGGTTTCTCTCTCTCTCCCCATGGGTCATGCTCAAAGCACTGGATCAATGGTTTACAAGGTTTGATAGAAAATAGGTCAGCCTGGAGACTTTGTGATTAAGAGCCTTTTCTCCGGGGTCAGACAGCTTGGCTTCTGACCACCAGTCAGAAGTCTAGGCTCTACTACTAAACTAGCTGTGTTCCCTTAAAAGGCTGATTTATCTTCTCTCTAAAGTTGGGATGATAATAGTAGTCGTCTCAGGTTGTTGGGAAGGTCAAACAAAATAACGACTGGGGAAGACAGTTCAACATCCGGCAGGAAGTAAGCGTTCAATTGTTGCTATTTGTCATGATCAAAAACTGCAATGTCTTTTTGCAAAACACACAAGCCTGGACTTCCCTCTCCTGAGACTCCAATGCAATGGGACTGGCAGGAGAGCCAGGAACCCATGCTAAAAACAACCAGAAACTTCACAGGTGGTTCAGATGAGCAACCAGACATGTGATTTTCTACTTTAGTCTGAGTAGATGCTCTCAGCTGACTCAAGCCTGAGATTGTCTGTGCTCATGTAGGAGAAGGTAGAGGATGTTTTAGAGCCAACTGGTCGTCAAAGTGTGGTCCCCCAGACCAGCAGCATCAGCATCACCTGGGAACTTGTTCAAAATGCAAATTCTTTGGCCCTATCCTGGACCTACTGAATCAGAGACTCTGAGGGTGAGGCCCCCGAGTTTAAACAAGCCCCCAGGTGATTCTGACACCCAAGAAAGTTTGAGACCGTGTTTTCAAAAGAAGACCTGGCTGAGCAGAAGATCCTGACGCCAGTAAGTACTCACTACATGTCTTCTGAATTTGGCTGAAAGAATGTTGAATTTTTTTTTAAGTAATACTTACATTCATACGATTATTTGCAGTTTTCAAAAGGTTTTCACACACCTTAGTGTGGTGAAGTAGTCTCTATTTTATAGAAAAGTTGTTTGTGGCTAAGTGCACAGGGTCCCAAGTAGCAGAGCTGGGATTAGGATCTAGGATTTGGTCCAGACTCCTTTGGTGGGTTATGAATGGCCCAAAACCTTTTTCGTGCTGTATCACAAGACCAAAGAGGAGAATAAACAGAAACAACAAGCTTCTGGTTGGCTCAGAGTTTACCTCCCCACCAGGATGCACAGCAAAGGATGGGGAGGAATTATTTGAAGGCCAGGAGCTACTGGCACTTGCAGCCTGGTGCTCTTAAGCTAAATAAGGAAAGCAGAACTTCATAGAGCCCATGGACACCGGCCCGAAGCCTCAGTTCCAGAACGCTGCCGTACTTCTGTCAGCTCACCTTGATCTTTCTGCCAGCTTCCTTTCTGTGTTGTGAAAATAAATCTGAGTGCCGGCTCACAGGGGAAGGTTCAGTCACTGCTGACTGAGGGGCAGAGGAATTGCCTTGGGAGTGCATGACCACTCTGGCCTCTTGCATAAGCCCAGCCCCTGAGGGAGACTTAGAACAGAGTTTCTCAACCTCAGCACTATTGAGATCTTGGACCTGATGCCTGTTTGCTGTGGAGGGCTGTCCTGTGCATCGTAGGATGCTCACTAGCATTCCTGGCCTCTACCCACTAGATGCCAATACCACTTCCCACTGCTGGCTGGAATCCTGACAACCAAAAATGTCTCCAGATATTGCCAAATGTCCCCTGCAGGGAGAGGCAGTAGAGAAAAATCATCCCCTGTTAGAACCACTGCCTTGCTGTGACAAAGTTTTCAGGTACAAGGCTGAGAGCCTCCGGATTTAGTACCCTAGGAGAAGATGGTTTTTTGAGATATAATTGACATACAGCACTGTAGAAGTTTAAAGTGTAAAGCATAATGATTTGACTTACATATATTGTGAAATGGTGCCATAATAAGTTTAGTTAGCATTCATCATCTCATATAGATAGAAAAAATATCTTTTTCCTTGTGATGAGAACTCTTAGGATTTCCTCTCTTAATGACTTTCATATATACCGTACAGCAGCATTAACTATAGTCATCCCACTGTACATTACATCCCTAGTGCTTCCTTATTGTATAACTGGAAGTTTGTATCTTTTGACCACCTTCATCCAATTCCCCATCCTCCCCACCCCATCTCCTTTGGTAACCACAAATCTGATCTCTTTTTCTATGAGTTTAGTTTAAATTTTTTTTTCACATATGAGATCATACGGTTTTTGTCTTTGTCTGACTTATTTCACTTAGTATAGTGCCCTCAAGGTCCATTCATGTTGTCACAAATGGCAGGGTTTCCTCCTTTTTTATGGTTGAATAATATTCCATTGTATATATACACCATGGCTTCTTTATCCATTCATCCGTTGATGGACACTTAGGTTGTTTCCACGTCTTGGCTATTGTAAATAAGGCTGCTATGAGTATAGGGGTGCACATATCTTTCTGACATAGTGTTTTCATTTCCTTCTGATATATTCCCAGAAGTGAACTTGCTGGATCATATGGTAGTTTTATTTTTAATTTCTTGAAGAACCTCCATACTATTTTAGGAAAAGGTTTTTGCCTTTTCACCTCTGCACCTTGAGACATAGGATCACCTTAAAAATCTGAATTTATAGTATTGAGTCATTGAATTCAATTATTGTTGATGTTACTTGTACTTTCTCTCACTGTGCCTGTGTCCAGCCTGAGGATCTTTCTCAAGACGGCCCTCTAGGACACCACAATCAATTGGTTGCTATTGCCTCTAACTTTCAAAAATTTCCCCTACTTAAAAATGTTTAGAGTATATGTGCCACATTTTTCTGGAATTCTTGTTAAAAAATACATATCCTTAAACAACAGCTGAGACTTCAGAAATCTGATTATTTGGGAATAGGGTACGACATTCTACACTGTATAATTTTTCAAAAAGATGCTGCCCACTTGATTTTTAGGCAGATATTGGGACCCTGTAAAGGTGTTAAGGTGGCAGGCTTAGTTCCTCCTTACACCTCCAGAGTGAGTTTTTGCCTTTCTCTGTTCCCTGTGACTGGGGATGATATTAAGAAACCTAAATTACAGATGATGCCATAATTGTCATCCTCTCAGATATGCCAGGAAGACATTATTGTTTCTCTGGTTGCAGCATTTATTTCCTAAATAATTTAAGAAAAACACAAGAATTTCAGACACTATGGAATTGATAGAATTGGATGGGGTAATTAAATTGGTAGGATATGAAAATATATATCAGGACAGCTGGTTATGAGCCATCCAAGATCTAATTGCCATTTTGGGCCCTGAACTAGTGAATGAGACATTTGGGGAGAACAATAACAGGTATGCTCTAAATTAAAAACATTTTTTAAGTCAACTTCTGATGTATCAGGAACGTTCATTCACACCATGGAAAGATTCTCCATTTTATAGTAAATATAAATATAAATCCCCTTTAAATATAAATCTCTAAACAGAAATCTTTTAAATATAAATCCTTATAAATATTATAAATATGTTATTAAATATAAATATAAAATGCATATGAACCGATATGAACCAGTAAGAATAAAACAGAGTTTCTGTGTGTTACTGAATGGTGCCGAATTAAAATATAAGCAACGTGATGTATGTAATACACAGCTCACTTGAAGGAACGGGTATAGGAGGCACATCAGAGAGAGACAATTATCCTTCACAGTTGCTAAAATCTCCATGCACGAGGTGCATGTGACGGCCCACCAGGGATGAAACATTATAAATGTGGGTGGAGAAGACAAATGAGAGTTCAAATATGGAACACGGAAAACCACACCAGAAGACACACCAGAACGCAGGCTTTGATTTCTGGTTCAGTTGATTCTCACAAGAGCAGCTCTACCTAATGACCTCAGGGGTTGGGTGTTAGCAGGAGTTTATTCATTTCAAAGCGGTTAATTATGATTCCTGAGCAATGCCTGAAAGTCTCAGTTTTTCAGAATCTGAATAAACAGAAAGTAAATAACCTCAAAAATTGTTTTCTCCAGAAAGGGATCCCAGGACAATGTTTAGAGAATTGCTCTCAATCTTTTTTGTTTGTTTGCTTCCATCCTATTCACATATCCGATCCTTCCCATGGGAATATTTCTCTTATTAACGGCAGTGATTTTCAAGTTGAGTTCAGGATGGGAATATAATAACAAAAAGCCCCCTCTTAATTCATTGTCCAAACCCAAAACTTGAGAGTTAAAGAGGTCATTGTAAAAAGTACCCCACGTGACAGGTGTAGACTGGGCCTGTCCCTCAGGCAGACTGGGATGACTGCTCATACTCCCTAAGCAACTGAGCCCCAGCCCCACCAAGAATAAAATGCCCCAGAAAATGGGCTTAGCCCCCTGCCCACACGAAGGAAAAGCAGAATGCGCCATTGAAATTGTAGTTACCTGAGAATTCAACAAAATTGTTTAAATACAAGACCTAACAAGTAGACACACAGAATCTTTGGTATATCCCTTCTGGAATCAAAATAATTCTTTGGTAAAGACAATTTCACTGACTATCTGATATAGACAAAGCCACATAAAACAAGATGGAGGAGTCTAAGCTTCCTTCCCTAAGGGAAAAAGCCACTTCTACCTCATGGGAATCATACTAACATTTAATTCTTACTGAGTGATTTCTTTGTGGCAAACATTGCAATCAAGCTCTTTATAAATCGAATGTCAGTTAGTCTTTACAATGACCCTAAGAAGTAAGTACTATTTTGATCCTTGAAGAAACTGAGGTGCAGAGAAAGTTTAGACAACTTGTCCAAACTCTCAGAGGGGGTGAAGTGGGTTTTGAACTCAGGTAATCTGGCTCCAGTAACCACGCTCTTGAGTACAATAATACACAATTAATCTTTCACAAGGGTAGTCTCCAAGGGTGGTTAAACTTGAAGATTAATTTATTTCTGGACCTTTCTCCTAATCTACAATCATCAAGTAGCCAAGAAAATGAGGAAGAGAAAGAAGCTAAATGAGAGAGAACAGGACGAGTTCATGGCAGAAATAAGATGGAGCCATGTTTAAGACCCAAGATTAAAACACTGTCTCTGAATGGGAGGTAAATCTGAAAAGGGTTTTGGTTGACAAGACCTATATATGTCTATTTAGGGCCTCAACAAATGGTCAAGCAATATATTGTGCACAAAGGCAACCAGTTGAGGGGGCAAGTGGGGACAGAACCCCAAAGTGGGTTTTGCTTGACCAGCCAAGCACCTTCATAAAGCTATGATAGACAGAGGGAGGACCTTTTTCTATGTTATGCACAGGTGGCCTCTACAGGCTAGGGGAGGCCTTCTCCACACTCCCAAAGCTCCATAGAGTGTATTTGCTCCACAGTGAGAGGATCCTGCCTCCTATTTGAGGCAAGGATAGCTGGTGTTTTAATAAAAGTCACCTTCATGCTAAGTCTCACCATTGCTCACATTTCTGAGATTCAGAGGATCTGTTCCCAAATGTCAGAAGCAGTAAAGGGAAGGAAGAAATAAGGCACTGGAAGAAAGTGGAAAAAATCTTTTTAGACAGTCTATAAATAAATAATGACCCTGAGCTTTGAAATTAGAGGTCATAGACAAAAGTGTTTCTTAGCCCTCTGAACACAGGTGGGGTCTGCCAAATTAGGTTTAAAACGCAACTGGGTAAATAAATAATGAGCGATGGACTGTTTGGAGTTTCAGTTCCACTTGCAAATCCCTTTTGTAAAAATCGAATGAATACAGAGCTTTGCAGATTTAGGACTCCCTCATCTAGCAGCTTTCTAGAAACATGACAAGGATCTTATTGCCACTGTAACATTTATAACCTGCAGGCTGTGTGTCCTATAGGTCTGTTCTGATACACCAATAAATCCAAATGGACATTAAAATAAATATTAGGAAGAGATTATACACATTTAATCATTGTTGCCAAAGATTGTTCTACAGGATATCTTTAATCAGTGTTTTTTGAACTCCATTTTTTCATTTATCACCTTCATGGTTATTGCCATATGCCTATATCACTTTCATATCTAGGTACCACATATACTGTTATCTACTTTATATTTTTCTTTAAACTGACTGATTTTTTTAAACTGAAAAATCTTTGAACAGAAAACTTGATATCTCTTCTGCAAACGTAAAACCAATTTTCCCTCATAAGAAGGAAAGCATAAAAGTAGACACAATGAGAACAAAATAATGTCACTAATTTCTAGGTAGACCCTATTGCCTGCCAAATGCTCTAAGCTTAAGGTCTGTTCTGACTTTATGAAAAAAGAGAGATGATTGTTTTAAAGATATGAAGGTAAACCAGCACCAAAAGACTGTGATAGCTATCTTGAAGAAATCAGTAGGAGTGGAAGAAAATTGAAAAGAGAATGACTTTCTCATTAGGTAAATTCAATGTTATTTAAGGGTGTACTGGTGCACTGCGCCACTGCTATAAGAAATAAAGTGCCCCCACCATATCCCTCCCACCCATAAAATGAATCAAGCAAGACACCTTTGCCATGCATAAGACTCCTTTGCTGGGGATAATCGACTTGTTCTACGTGCATGTCATGTAGTTGACTGCAAACAAATCATTTACTTACCATGTTCATCAAGCAAAATGTTGTCAGGCTTCATATCCCTAGGGGAGTAAAAAGAAAAAAGAAAGTTGTTCATAATAAAGCAAACAAACAAACATAACGAAAGGATGAAGGCAAAAATGCTCAAGAATGCTAACTAGAGTCGAAACAATGTACTATCCCCTCATCGCTCACAATCTCATTCAATTCTCACACTGAATCTATGAGATGGTTACGATTAATACTCAAATTTCTAGATCAGAAAGATGAGGCTTAAGGAGCTTAAGTAACGTAACCCAAGGTCACAGAGCTAGCAAATGGGAGACAGGGGCTCTGAACCCGCGTCTCTCTCATTCAAAAGCTCAGACTCTTAATTTCTATAGCATATTACACGCAAGCACGTAAATATGGCTCCATGGGATCATACAGCATTTAAATGATCATAAAGCAGCAGTACTAGTCGTATTTTTGTCTGTGTAACTTTATAGAGTTACACAGATGAAATGAACTTAAAGACTATAAAATGAGAAACAAAACGGTCTATAATGTGATTGTATTTTAAACCTGCAGAGATTAGAATCTTTTTTAGGATGATGCTATGATGCCTCTAGTTACTTAATAAATATTTTTCCTGGGGTAATTAAAGGATTTAGATAGTTTTGCATGCATTTGTGAGATCCTTAAATCCATCAGAGGGGAAAAAACCCCACCCTCTTCCAATGAAGGGTGTAGTTTGACGGTAAATACTTAGAGGAATGGCCTATAGAGTTTTCAAAGTCCTCAGGAAAGGAATATCAGCATAAGCAGCACTCCCCAATCAGAGAACAGCACTGTAGTTCATAATAGCTCTCATTCCTCCACGCTCAGGTTTGCACTGCCCTTCCCTAATGGACCATTAAAGCCCTTCAACCTAAATTCACAGACGCCATTAGGGAAGAAATTCTGAAACAGGTTTTGGGAACACATTTTCAGCCTAGTCAAGTGACTTTTACACTACTAGAATAAGGTGACCTTAGTCTTTGACTGACCAAGACTGTCAGGGTCCTCTTTTCTTGAAAATATTAATGAATAACAAGCCCTTTACTTACAAACAGAATCAAGTATGCACCACACCCAACATGCAGACGCATGGCTAGTCTCAGGAACTTTGAATATCTTCTCATTTAGTTTGGTAGGTTATTAAAATTAATTCTGGATTCACAGAGTGGTCATCTGTATCTGCGGCAATTTTTCTCTGGCGCAGGGTACAATTTGATAAGGATGGAATGTCAGGGAGTTTTAAACTGCGTGTTTCTATGGCTAAACTCTCTCTCAATATTGCAGACTCTGCCCCAAACCCTTTCATGGATCCCATCATTTCAAGAATTATCAAGTCCAAACTCACTCATACAAAATAAAGGCCCTTTCATAATCTGGCCCCTGTGCTCCAGCCAGATGGAAGCACATGAGGTCCCCGAAATTCTCCCTGCACCCCCTCACCTTCTGCTGTTCCTTTGCCTGAGTCACAGCCTCCTCATACTGCACCTAGACAATGCAGAGTCATCCCTCACTTCATAGTTCAGATGCCACTTCTTGCAGGGAGCCTTCACTCATTTTCCAATTCTCAGTCAATGGCCCTCCTATGTGCTCTGCATGGTCTACTTCTTCCACGATAACTTTTATCATACTTATATTTATTTTTTCTCCAACTGAATCATGAACTCCTTGAGGGCAGGGATGGTTTCCTGATTAATGTCATATTCCATCATACAGGCTCCTAGCGCCTGGTGGGCAGTAAATGAATGACCAAATGATATGGGGAGAATCTCTAGTCCACTCAAGAAAGCGAATGCTTACGGTATATATCAGAGCACTACGGTGCACCATCAAACTCGCTGAAGTTTAAAGCTCAAGGTAAAACCAGGCATTAGGCTCTTGCCATCTCTTTCAGACCTGCATCCAATGAGCATCAGTCAGTGTCTGCCAGGGATGGAGGAGGCACAGAGGGCCCTGCCAGCAGGGAGGAGACTTGAGTGTAGCAAGATCAGCATAATGATTTTGTGGCCTGAATTTATGAGGGCTTCCTGGGTGAAATGAATTGCTTGCTGTGGATTTGACACTTTATGAGCTTTCTATTAAATCCCTAGGCATGATTTTTCTTATTTATTAAAGCCACACATCATTATATCTACTACTTTTCCCAGAAACTACCTTGGAGCATAAAGAATAATACAGAGATCAGAGAGGTAACAATTCGTTTAAGGTGACGCTTCTTACTTTAATCTTATATTCATTTATTCATTGAATATCTACTTTGATAAGTCACTGTGCGAGGAAATAGGAAATATAACAATAAATGAGATATAGTTCCCTCTGGGATGAAGAGGAGAAGAAAGGTTCATAAGGAACCACGACAAAAAGGTTTAAAGTGGTAAAGGGGCCTGTTTGTTACTAAATTCAGAGAAAGAAGATGAAGAAAATCCAAGACAACTAAAAGAAAAAGTGAAATTTTAATATAAAAATAAAGAATATAAGCATAGATTCGAAGCACGAAGTTTCTCCAAAATGTGATGAGGTAACTTTTAAGTCACTACAGGGTAAACTGCAGTGTGGGAACTGTTTATTCATGTACCAGGAGGAAGAAAATGAAAGTAAACCCAGTGTGCTATATTAACATTCCTGCTAGGACAAGTTAAGCTTTTCCAGTTCTGAAATTCAGCACCAGTTCCTTTTCAGTCTTCTCAAATAATCCTAAATATGAAATCACTTATTCTCAAATGTTTCTTTTATTTAAGGAGCTCTATCACTTGGTTTAACTTAGTGGTTACCAAACCTGTGCGTTCAGAAGCACCTGGGGAGCTTTGAGTAACGCGGATTCTCTGACCTAGTTCAGCCCCATGGCATCAGACTCTGTGGACAGGCCCAGGCATCTGTCCAAAGACAACAGAATCCTCTAGGACCTTCTAATGTATAGTCATGTTCAGAAATGCCATCCAGGCATTGTTCAAATCCAAATATGTCAATCCGATTTTAAAATATGAACCTCTTAAAAGTTTATCTATGAAGATAAAGGTGACGGAAAAGTACACTTACCACTCTCAACAAATTCTTTGGTTAAAATATATCTGGAGGTCTCTTACAACCTACTTATTATTAGCTGATGAGTTCCCTCTCACTTGCTATTATCATTCTTGGTGATTTCAATGTCTATGTGGAGGATGTCATTTCAATGTCAATGTTTATGTCTATGGCCCCTTACCCCAGGCTCTCACTTTCCTGACTTACCTCCAATAATCTTTTCATCTATCCCACCTCAACTGTTTTCCATACTTCCATTTCCTTAATCATTCTTTTGTCATTACCACAGCCTACCCCATGACCAGCATGACCTTCTATCCAATCCAATTTCCAAACTAGCATCTCTAACACACTGAGACCACCAATTATTGACCCTGTCAATTTTTATTTATACATCAGAACTCTCATATCCTCAATTCCCTTCCAAAGTCCATTGTTAATATTCCTTGTAAAATTCTGAATTCTCTTACCCCCTTCAGTTGTACACAATAAAGCTCCAACATTGGTGAAACCCAGCTCCCCACATTCTTCCTGCCTGCAGCCAAGCACCTGAAGTTTGCTAGAAGAAAAGACATCGTGATATTAACTGTTCTCATTTAAATTCACAGCTACATATCTCAAACAAGCATCAACATGCCAGGCAGTACTGTAACACGGACCTTCTCCAAGAGGACCACTGCACACTTTTGCACCGCTCCTCACACCTCTTACACTCTCCCTCTCACTTTCTCTCAGTTGATGACTATACTTCCTTATTTCACAAAGATAAGAAAATTATCTTTTGGGAACTCATCTACCACCAAGTTACCAGCTTCCTGATTTCTGTATCCATAGTCTTTGCCTTCCCTCTAGCATCTTCCATGCTGGATGAAGAGCCCCCGCACAACTCTTCTAGGGGCTCTGGATCTCATCCCCTCTCACCTGCACACGGATTTCCCTCAGAGAAGTATCCCTTCCTTCTCTCACATCATCTCCTTCTCCCATTCTTGTTATGACTGAGTCTCTTGGAAATACCTTCCTTAACCCATAGCCACCTCCACTTATTCTCCCATTTTACAATTATCTTTTACAATAATACCTCAGGATTGACTCCTTGATAGGTGAGGAATTAGAAACAGCTACTGCCATTCTCTTCTCAGCCCATTCTCATCAGGCATCCATCTTCTCCACTCCCTCAACTTGCTCTTGTCAAGTACACTGCTGACCTCCAGCTTGCCAAATCCAATCGTCACAATTTTATTAATCATGCTTAGCTTCTCAGTGAGTTGATCACTCCCTCCCGCCTGACATCCTTTGTTCTTGTGGCTTGCCAAGAGCCACATTCTCCTGGTTCTCCTCATACCACAGAGACCCCTCCTTAGTCTCATTTGCTGGTGTCTTCTTGGTTCAACCTTCAAATGTTGAGATTCTCCAGGGCTCAATCTGATATACAACTATACTCCACTTAAGTGATCTCATTTAGTCTGGTGATTTTAATGTTATATATATGTGTGTATATATATATATATGTATATACATATACACACACACACACACATCAAACTTTTATCTCTAACCTTGACTCTGGAATTCTAGATTAACATATGAAACCTCCTACTTAATGTTTCCATCTGCATGTCTAACAGCCATGATAACTGTAATATTTCCTAAAGAGAACCTGTGATATCCATCCACATCCCACACAAACACCAAAACCCTCTTATCTCCAAATTCCTTAACTCAGAATATGGCCTCATAATTCTCCCATTGTAAAAGTAAAAATCCTGAGGTCATTCTTAATTCTTTTCTTCCTCTCAACTCATAATACCAGTCCCTCAGCAACTCCTGATAACTCTTTGTTTTCTTTTTGAGGAAGTTTAGCCCTGAGCTAACATCTGCTGCCAATCTTCCTCTTTTTTGCTGAGGAAGATTGGCCCTGAGCTAACATCTGTGCCCATCTTCCTCTACTTTATATGTGGGATGTCACAGCATGGCTTGATAAGCAGTATGTAAGTCCGTGCCCGGG